AGCAACAACAACAAAGGCACAGGTGGAATCGGAAGAAACCCATGCCCAGGCTTACGTTCTCTCCCTTCCATGAGGAAACACACAGCGCATCCGCCTGTCTCCAGTGGTGAAGAATGCAGGGGCGTTGAGTGTTTGTCCCTGAGGAAGCCCAGGAGAGAGGTTTTTGTCGGGGGCAAGTCGTGTGGGCGTCCTCTGCCTCGCAGCTACTACAATGACAGAATCCCACAAGGAAAGCAAATACTCACCACAGATCATATTGTTTGTGCAGCAGGTGAAACACAGCAAAACCAGTCTTACCAGTTAGGGGATGGAAGTGCCAAGTTCCTGATGTCAGCCAAATGCCAGCCTTGCCAGCATGCCGTTATAAAGATGGCAGCCTCGGGCCTGCCGTGTTCACTGTTTTCTGCATAGGTACACAACCCACATGACACTAACATACTTAAAACACATTTCGCAGCAGTAGTGTGTTTTTGGAGATGGGGTCTCGCTCTGTCACCCAGGCTGGAGTGCAGTGGCACAATCATAGCTCACTGCAGCCTCAAACTCCTGGGCCCAAAGGATCGTCCCACCTCAGCCTCCTGAGTAACTGGGACTGTAGGTGTGCACCACCACACCTGGCTAATTTTTTTATTTTTAATGTTTTTGGAAGGACAGGGCCTCACTATGTTGCCCTGCCTTGTCTTGAACTTGTGGCCTCAAGTGATCCTCCCACCTTGATCTCCCAAAGTTCTGGGAGTACAGGAATGAACCACCACACCCAGCCTGAATACAATTAGAGGGTTCAGAGCACAAAGTTTAAATGCAAAGTTGCCTATAAAAGATGTAATATACATACTTCAAAACACAACTACTGGGGTGGAAGTATAACAAATGATGAGGGAAGAATGATCTTTTCAACAAACAGGCACTGGGCAAATGGATATCCACACGCAAAAGAATTAATTTGGACCTTTCCCTCATATACAGAATGAACTCAATGGATCAAAGACCTAAATGTAAGAGTAAATATAAGACTCTTAGAAGAAAACACAGGGGTTAACCTTTGTGACCTTGGATTAGGCAATGGTTTTTTTAGATGTGACACCTAAAACACAGGCAAGAAAAGAAAAAATAGAAAAACTGGACTGCATTAAAAATAAAAAGGTTTTCAGATCAAAAGAAACTATTAAAGAAAAAATCCACACATTGGGAAAAAATTATAAATTATACATCTGGTATGAGACTAGTATGTGGAATATATAAAGAACTATTATAACCCAACTGGAAAATGGGCAAAGGCTTTGAATAGACATTTACAAATGCAGATGCAAAATGGGTAAGAAGCACAGGAAAAGATGCTCAACATGATTTTTCATTAGAGAAATGCAAATCAAAACAACAATGAGATGGCACTTCACATCCACTCAGATGGCGATAATAAAGATGGGCAACAAAAGTGTCGGTGAGGATGTAGAACCTTACACATTGTTGATAGGGATGTGAAATGGTACAGCCCCTTTGAAATACAGATTGGCATTTTCCCAAAATGTCAAACATAGAATTACCATACGACCCAGCAATTCCACTCCTAGGTACATACCCAAGAGAATTGAAAACATATATCCTCACAAAAACTAGTACACAGATGTTTGTTGCAGCATTATTCATAACAGGCCAAATCTGGAAATAATCCAAGTGCTTATAACTGATGAACAGATTTTTTAAAAATGTGGTATATCCATATAATGAAATGTTAATCATCCATAAAAGGAATGAAATATTGATACATGCAACAAAGGACATGAATGTTGTAAACATTATGCTAAGTGAAAGAAGCCAGACATAAAAGATCCTGTGTTCTGTGATTCCATTTATATAGAATATCCAAAATAGGCAAATCCGTAGAGACAGAAAGCGGATTAGCGCTTGCCAGGAATCAAAGGGATGAGGAGAATGGGGAGTGGTTTCCGATGCTACAGGGTTTCTTCTGGATGATGACAAGGTTTTGGAATTCCATAGTGGTAATGGTTGCACAACTTTGTAATTATGTTAAAAACCTCTGAATTGTGCATTTTAAAAGGGTGAATTTTATGGTATGTGAATTATATCTCAATTTGTAAAAAGTGTAACAAGCGGATTAACATAAATGTTAATTCCGGAAATCAGAAGTATAAAGATGCAGGATGAGCCATACAATAATTTCCTCACATTCTTCTGAAGAACAGACTGAAGCCCCCAAAACAGCAGTAGTTTCCTGTCCCTCTTTGGAAATAGCCAGGACTCTTCAGCCTGAATTAGAGGCTGTCTCATACTTGTCACAGGCAGGACAACTGAAAACTTTTTACTGGGACTCCTGATAAGTCAGCCTAATTGAATGAATGCTTTATATTCAGAATTCAAATGAACCAAGCCGTCTTCCCATAAATTACTCAAACTACCAGAAATCTAAACCAGCAATTAATTTAAAAAGGGATTTTGTGCCCAATCACTTGGAAACTATTTGGCAGTATCTACAAAAGCTGACTATGCATACTCATTGATCCAGTAACTACTACTACAATGTTTATCCCCAACAAAAATATGTACCAATTTTCGAAAAAGCAGGCACAAGAATGTTCCTAACAGTCCAAAACAGAAGCTACCCAAAGTCCATCAAGTAGAAAAGATAAATTGTGATATATTCACACCATGTAATACAACAATATGAAGGAAAAAAATTACAACTAACACAACAAAATGGATGAATCAATGTCAAGGGAAAGAAGCTAGACACAAAATATTATACACTGTATGATTCCATTTATATAGTGTAAAAAACAAGAAAAAGTAACTTGTGCCATTACAGGTGCATATAGGATTTACACTTGAGTTCATGTAGTGACCAGAAGGGAATATAACAGGACTTCTAAAGTGCTGATAAGGATCTCTTTCTTGATCTGAGAGCTAGTTACATGGATGTGTCTGGCTTGTGAAAATTTATCAAGCTGTAAACTTATATATACATTTCTGTATCTTTCATTTACTTCAGTAAACAGTTTTTAAATGGATTGCTTTAACAGCAGACTAGATGTGGCTAAAGAGATAATTTTAAAAAAGGGAGAGGTTACTGAAGAGATTACCCAGAGTGTGTCAGAGAGAAAAAAAAAACAGATGGAAAATCTGAAAGGCAAACTTAAGAGACAAGAGGAGAAGGTCTTATCAAAACGCTGGAGAGAGAAATGAAATAGACTGGGGCCTCTGAAGAGCATGGTGGGTTGACTTGTGTTTCCAGCCAAAGATACACCTGAGTCCTAACTTCTGAAACATGTGAATATGAACCTCTTTGGAAATAGGATATTTTACATGTAATCAAGTTAAGAGGAAGTCATGTTGGATTAGGGTGGGTGCCAACTCCAATGACTGGTGTCCTCATAAGAGGGAGGAGTGAACACACAGAGATAGAGGAGACACAAAGGGAAGGCCATGTAAACACAAAGGCAGAGGTTGAGTTGTGCAGCTACAAGCCTAGGAACATCAGACATCACCAGCAACCACTAGAAGCTGGTGGGGGATGCTTAGAATGATTTTTCCCTAGGGCCAGAGGAAGCATGGCCCTGCCAACACCTTGATTTTGGACTTCTAGGCTCCAGAACTGTGAGAGAAGAAATTTCTGTTCTTTTAAGCCACAAAGTTTTTGATATTTTGTTTTAGTAGCCCTAGGAAACTAACACAAACAAATTATCCCTGAGAATGTTCGAGAGCTAATAAAAGACACCAATCCTAGACAGGAAGCTCAAAATTCCCAAAACATAATAAATATCTAGTCAATCTAATAAATACCCAGTAAATCCATCAAAAAGGCAATATAATAAAAAATGAAATGTGAATAAGGTAGATAGAGTGAAAGTACAAAATAAGAAATAATTTCAATTCAGTGGTAATTAAAATAAATGTAAAAGAGCTAAATGTTCCGGTAATATTCAAAGATTGTCAGCTTAGGTATAAACAACACATCAACAAATCTAAATGCATGCGATTTATGAGACATGCCTGAAATATGAACTACAAATCAACACAACCCAAAGGCAAAAAGACTTAAAACATTTAAGAGAAAAGATGAATGACCAAGAAACATATGCAAAAGCAGCTTGTGGGGAGGATGGGGTGCTTGGGTAGGGGTGGCAGGTGGGAGGAATGGGTGGAAATGTGTGGAAGGAAATGGGTGGAAATCACACAGGGGTGTACAAGAGACTTAAAGATAACGTGATTTTAAAAAATTGAGCAACAGCATGATGAAACCCTGTTTCTACTAAAATACAAAAAAAATTAGCTGGGTGTGGCAGCATGTGCCTGTAGTCCAGCTACTCAGGAGGCTGAGGCAGGGGAATGTATGAACCCTGGAGGCAGAGGTTGCAGTGAGCCGAGATTGCACCACTGCATTCCAGCCTGGGCAACAGAGCAAGACTCCATCTCTAAAACAAGAAAGTGGGTGACAGGTACTTGGATGTTAATTGTCTAGTTGTTATGCATTCTTTATTTATATATCTGAAAATTGTATCTATTCAGCATTCAATTTTTTAAACTTGAAAAGTTAAATACAAGTTTTCAACATTATGATAAGTCTTGCTTAATCATTCCTCACTTGTACGCACCTCTTTTTAGTTATGAGGACCTGGTCTATTCCAAACGCTTCTCTCTTTTCCATGGGTTTTCAAGAAGTGAATCATTTCTTGACACTTCCATTCTGATTCTAATCTCTGCTCATCATAACCACAGAGGAGTCATAACTTGTCTGAATCTTTGAGGAAATAGTCCTTCATTTTCTTCCAGCCCTCAGGAGGCGGCTCTAGTCTGTAGTTCTGCTTGACGCTGCTAATCGTCAGAGAAGCAGATCTAACGTTCCTTCTCTCTATAGAATCCCTACTCTCAGGTCGTTCTTCCCTTCCTGCCACTGAGCATTTTCAATAACGTTATTCATCTATAACATTATTCAATAACAGCTAACTTTAGTCCTGTTCGCAATATCAAATATTTCACATACTGTTGCTTCTCAACTTTTTGGTCAAGATCAAGTATAAGATCTGTTCTTATCCATTTAATATCTGATCCATCCTCTATCTGAAGAGATTAAATGGATTTTTGGAGCAGGGAGATGCAATAGGAGCTTGCTCCAACCCCACACATGGACATGGTATTGCAGTACCTCCTGGAATGCTGCGCCCTCCCCACTCCAAAAAACATTCGTGTACTAGACCATCCATACCATGCACAATGTGCTCTAACATGTTATGGGAAGGAGAGTTATCCTTTATTGTGCCAGCTGTAGAAAGATAAGAATAAATATGTTTTCCTCCATATGTCCATTGTCTTAGGTTTACTTCCCCAGAAGCAGAGTTCCTATTGGGATTTGTGTTCAAGTGTATACCAGGGGGTGGTCTCAGGAGAACAGCGCAGGAGACATGCTGAGCAAGAATGTGGGCTCAGGTAGGAACTAACTTCATTCTGACCTCAGAGCACAATTACACTCCCAAATGTATCTCACCTTGAGGCTAAGGGGTATCAGGACTGTACAGGGTCTGCGATTCTACCCTACTTAACCACTAACAAGCCAGCCTGTTTCATGGATGCTGGCAGAAGACACAAGACTCTTGGGTTAGAAACAGATGACTTTCTTACTTATAGCAGAAGCCATAACCAGAGTGTCAGCATGATGCTTGAGCCAGTTCTCCCTGCCCCCCAATACCCACAGAGGTGACACAGAGGGCCCATTATGGATTCCCGCACGCTCTGTGGGCTGCGTTATAACAGAGGAACACCGCGTTATAACAGAGGACCACCGCGTTATAACAGAGGACCACCGCGTTATAACAGAGGACCACTGCATTATAACGGAGGAACACTGCGTTATAACAGAGGAACACTGCGCTTGGGGGATCCACTGCTCTTTAGAGAAGCAGCCCTGCTGTTTGTCTGTGAGGAGACATTGCCGCCTTCTTCAAGATTACTTGCTGCAAACACAACCTTGAGAATGGCCCATGTAAAGAGCAGAGCCAGCCTTGCATTCTTGACACATCCAGCAAGGGATGCTCAAGATGCATGGCAGACGGGCTCTCCTAATCGGGGAGTGGTCTGTCTCCAAGAAAGAGGGAGCAAAGTGTCCTGGAGGAGGGGACTTGTGTGGCTGTGGACAAAGCTACGGAGAAGGAACAGCTGTGAGCTGTTTTCCTTCAACATCCACAGTAGCTGGGGATGAGGGGGTACCACCTCCAAAAGAGGATCTGAGAAGGGCGCCCTTAGCATCCATGCCACCTGCTTTTCCCTTAAAATCACAGATTTCTTTCAGATTCTATATTATCAATTACTGTCTACAATTTCTATTATAGAATTTTCTAAATTTACAACATATTATGCAAAGAGTTGTTAAGTTTCAAATAATGATTTTATACCTAATCCCAAGATTTGGCAGAGATAAATACATCCTCTTTCTGTTTTCAATCTTCGTGTTCATTTTTTCTAATTAAAAAAGTACTAAATTTTGGATTATCCTCTTACAAGAGACTTGTCATGTTAAAAGCTCATATTAGTTTTGCTTTTTGGAAAGTTTTGCTTTTTGGAAAGACAGAATAGAATAAAGAAGTGCAGCCTGGGCACAGTGACTCACTCCAGTAACCCCAGCACGCTGGGAAGCTGAGACAGGAGGATTGCTGGAACCCAGGAACTTGAGACCAGCCTGCATAACATGGAGCCCCCATCTCTACAAAAATTTTAAGGAATTAGCTGGATATGATGGCACATGCCTGGAGTCCCAAGTACTTGGGAGGCTGAGGTGGATGGATCACGTGAGCCCAGAAGGTTGAGGCTGCAGTGAGAGCTATGATTGTACCACTGCACTCTAGCCTGGATGACAGAGTGAGACCCTCTCAGAGAGAGAGAGAGAAAGAGAGAAGTGCGCAGGTGGTGGGACATGCCAGCTGTTCTGCTTACCTGCTCTTAACTAGCCCTGTGGCCTTGGGCAAGTTACTTAACTTCCCCACTGTCCCTTGGTTTCCCCATACATTAAATGAGTCTCATAATGGACCTTATTTCATAAAATTTTGTCGGAGCTGCCTAGAAAGCCTTACAACAAAGGTCAATACTTGGCATTTAATAAGAGCTCAGAAAATCTTTGATTTTGTTTTCCAAATGTCTCCAAAACTTCTTTTAAGCTACAGCAACAAAAACCATGTGCAGTCTTCTAACCACAAAAGGCAACATGAGTTTAAACAAGGTAAGGTATTGTTTTCTGATTTGTTTCATTTCTGTTGCCCTTCCTGAATATGCCCAGTTTTTTCTTAGCCTTTTTGAAGAAGTAGCATATTGAGTTAATGTCTTCGGTGAAAACAAAACTTCCATATCCAATCTCTCAGTCATAAATGAGTGCTATCTGCATTATCCCTTCTTAATACCTTACCTAATATTGCTTCCCCCTAAGTAAAGCTCATTGGGAAATTTTATATTCACTAAAGGCAGCCATAAGATTTGGGGAATTATATAATCAAGAATTGTATATATCTAAAAAGGAACATTATAGAATCCTCTAATTCAGACCACCTATAGTACAAACTAAAGATGAGGAAATTGACTCTTAAAAAGATTAAATGACTCTTCCAAAATCACAAAGATAATTCAGTGAGTTTTTTTCCTCTACTAAATGTTCCTTTTTTCTCCATTTCATTCTCACTTAAGCAACTTATTGTCTCAAAGAGCATCACGTAATGATATAAAACTGCAGCTTTCCAATCACACTAAGGGTCTCTCGATTTTTTCTCTTGACCACCAATCAGGAACCTTTGCTGGAAGCTTGTTTCTGATTGGTGAAAGTAAGCCGTAACAGTGGAATGCGAAGGAGTAAACACAAAAGCGTAGCAACAACTGAGTTTGCTGTCTCACTACCCTCAGCCTAGGCCAACCTGGACTCCTTCACCCCAAATGAGGTGACCTCTACATTTTATATGAAGACACTGATTTACCATTCAACTGTGATCCATCTTATAACATGGCAATCCGATACAGACAGGAAGATAAAACTGAACAACACAGCTAAAATAAAGTGTATTCCCAGGTAAAATAAACACGTGCTTTAATTTGAAATGGATTCGTCCGATGAGTGTCAGTTACAAGGGCACAGAAGGTACCGGTGCAGAAGAGCTGTTTCTGTGGGCAGTATCACAGGTCCCGTAAGGGGCAATGCTTGTGCTGGGCGACATGACCCATCTTAATGTATAAACCCATAGCCAGACAGGACGTGCAAACAGGTCTCATGGTGAATCCATGCTGTGGAAAATGACACGGAGAATGGCTGCCTCTCAGCTGGGGAGGGTCTTGGTGTCCTAGGAAAGAATGTTCACGTCCTAAAGTCGGTGGTTGGTAGTCTATCTAGGCGATGAGGGAAGGATACTTTTCATAGTGAGCGCCTGGTGGGAATAGAGTCTGTTTTTGCATTTTGCTGGAGGAAGATATTTCTACCACCTTATTTTTTATTCTTGCTTACAGAATACACATTGTGGAAAAAGGATGAAGTTGACCAGCGAAAAGTTGCCCAAGAACCCCTTTTATGCCTCCATATCTCAATATGCTGCTAAAAACCAAAAATCCTTCCAATGGAAAAAGGAAAAGACTGGTACGAATCCTACTAGTTAAGCTTCCCTTGGAAAATACTTTCACTAACAGTTCATTTTGTATGCTAGAGCAAACGAGACAAGAAATACTGTGTTTGATTGATTTCAAGGAAGTGGTTAATCATTACAGACCTTTTGAGTTTTCCCACAAGAATCTGTGAAATTGCTCATTTATCTGGTAGCAAATCGTCAGTGAGGTCTCACAGATAGTTAGGTCTTGAGTTTACTCTCAGGACTTAAGGACATGCTTCTAGAAAACACAAGCCAGATGTCATGTTTGTTAAAGAGAACAATGCCATGCTTTACTTGCAATTATTATTTAAATACCTGATTTCCCCTATAGCCTTAAAAATATTATATTAGGGATGGGATGCTCATTTGGTTAGAGGAGCTCTCATTAAGGCTCAAATTAAGAATTTAACTCACCTCTCCAGACGGCTTTGCCCATTGAAGACAAACCAATGCATAGACCGAGCCCTGCACTGCTACGGCCCTACTTGGCCATAAGCAGGGTTGGTGCGAAACCAATCCACAAGTATTGCTTTTTTTGTTTTTGAGATGGAGTTTTGCTCTTGTTGCCCAAGCTTGAGTGCAGGGACGCGATCTTGGCTCACCGCAGCCTCTGCCTGCCTGAGTCTCCCGAGTAGCTGGGATTACAAGCATGCACCACCACACCCCCCAATTTTGTAGTTTTGGTAGCGTTGGGGTTTCTCCACGTTGGTCAGACTGGTCTTGAACTCCCAACCTCAGGTGATCTGCCCGCCTTGGCCTCCCAGAGTGCTGAGATTTACAGGTGTGAGCCACCGCGCCCGGCCTGTATTGCTTCATTATACAAGGCACAGTGTTAGGTACTGTGACCATGCCCTTTTTTCAGGTAATATTTCTTCCTTGCGCTAAGGAGGCCAGCTGTAGGAATGAGTATTAGAAAGAAATATTGTCAACAGTGTTAGATGGATTTTACATGATTCATTACTTCAGGAGAGAAAATTCCTATTATGTGGTTAATGGAATTCCTTACGTTTTAAAAATCAGATCATTACACCCATGCTAATTTGGTGGATAAGGCATTGCAGCTCTTGAAGAAAAGAATACTGAAAGGAGACACTCTGGCATATTTCCTGAGAGGTCAACTATATTTTGAAGAGGTATCATTTTTTGTTTGTTTTTTTTTTCATTTCCTATAATTCTGTTGTTAGATCCTGAGACAAAAATTTCATGTAGAGTTTCTTTCTGTGTTATACTAGGGAAATTCTGTCCGATTACATAGACTATGGCTGTGGCTTTAACAGTGGGATACAGTGCTGCTAGCTTGAGGAGTTACCTGACCTTTCTTCATAAAATCCATGTCATGAAAGCCATTTATGGGAGTCATTTTAGTATAAAATCCATTTCACACTATAGATTAAAAATCAAATTTTTATATATGTGCTCAAAATATTTAATAATACAAATTATATTATCAGGCCAGGTGCGGTGGCTCACACCTGTAATCCCAGCACTTTGGGAGGCCGAGGCAGGTGAATCACCTGAGGTCAGGAGTTGGGAGACCAGCCTCTCCAGCATAGCTAAACCCCGCCTCTACTAAAAAAAAAAAAAGAAATAGCCAGTCATGGTGGTGCACATCTGTAATCCCAGCTACTTGGGAGACTGAGGCAGAGAATTGCTTGAACCCAGGAGGCAGAGGTTGCAGTGAGCCGAGATTGTGCCACTGCACTCCAGCCTGGGTGACAGAATGAGACTGCCTCTCAAAAAAAAAAAACTATATTTATATTATCAGATATCTTCATATTAATAATTGAAGCCCTGATTTTTATCTAGTACTTAGAGGTGGCTTTAGTTGTTCCTGGACAGCATAGGAGGAAATCGCCCTCGTTCTCCACATCTTGTTGGGATAACCTGGGAAGTAGACTGAGGCATGGCTATGCCAGCTGTCCCCCCAACTTCAGTAATGTAGTTTCGGTTTTTCACTGATTTCCCTGGGAAGACTTGAAAAGGGACAGACTGTCCTTCACCATTCGTTGACTATTTGGGCAGCTGTTCACCTATATCCCAATTACTTTCTCACTTTTCAACGGCACCTTCATCTATCCTGACAACAAATGTTTGCTGAGGGCTCATTGTGCACCTGTCACTCTGAGGATGGCAGAGTGCTACGGCAGACAGCGTGCTTCGTTAACAAGCACTGCTTGTTAACTGTGTGTTTAACTTGGGCAGAAACGCTTGGCCACTTGGTGCCTTTGGGATTACTTAAAGATCATAATAAAAATAATTAAATATCTTCTGGGTGCTTCTAGGGATGGTATGAAGAAGCATTAGAACAGTTTGAAGAAATCGAGGAGGAAGACCATCAAGCAACTTACCAGCTAGGAGTGATGTACTATGATGGGCTGGGGACCATTCTAAATTCTGTAAGTTAGTGTCTTGGTCACAGTGGTTAAGATTTCATTGTCAGTGGATTGTTGGACACAATTAAATATATTTTAATGCTTTTTTTTTTTTTTTGAGACAGAGTCTTGCTGTGTCACCCAGGCTGGAGTGCAGTGGCGCGACCTCGGCTCACTGCAACCTTGACTTCCCGGGTTCAAGTGATTCTCCTGCCTCAGCCTTAAGAGTAGCTGGGATTACAGGCACTGCCACCATGCCCGGCTAATTTTTGTATTTTTAATAGAGACAGGATTTCACCATGTTGGCCAGGGTCTACTAAAAATACAAAAATTAGCCTGGCATGGTGGTGCATGCTTGTATTCCCAGCTACCTGCGAGGCTGCAGTGAGCCAAGATCATGCCATTGCATTCCAGCCGGGGTGACAGAGCAAGACTCTGTCTCAAACAAAAATCAAAATATATTTGATTGTCCAGTATTATTTTCTTCTTTTGGGTGATGTTTGAAGGTTCGTGTCTGATGGATCTCGGGGTGGAGGGTGCAGATCTGTTCCTGCTAGTGGTTAGAATATCTTCTATGCTTTCCTTGTGACCACAAAGCAGATGTATTAATGCGTAAGATTTGTATATCAGATACAAACTATGAGCACACAGTAAAAGTATGCTTGAATGGAAGATGGTGTTTGTTAGGGGCTCACAAGTGTATTGTAAGAATTATAAATGTGAAAGAAGTTCCGGGCCATGCTTGCCTTTTAGTCAGTTCTAAGAACTGTGCTGATTCAGGATAAGGGTTATTAGATGGGAGGGAAGAGAGAAAAAAGGAAGCCCATATTGAGACTTAAATCAACTCAGGCAGCTGTAAAAGGAAGGAAATTTCTTATATCCCAGAGCTCCTGGGAGTGCCTGGATAGGAAATGTACTTTTAGAGATTCTTTTTGTCCTTATCGCTTGCCTGGCAGGATCCAGGACAATCGTAACTCTTGGGCACAGATTCATAGTATTACACATCATGTCAGAGGGAGGACACTTCACAGCCTTATTGGGAGAAAGAAATTCAGTTTGGGTAAAACTAAAAACTAGGGTTTTTTTGCTCTTTCTTTTGTCGAAGGAGAAAGGGGTGGACTATATGAAGAAAATTCTTGATTCTCCATGTCCCAAAGCAAGACACTTAAAATTTGCAGCTGCTTACAACCTCGGAAGAGCTTATTATGAAGGAAAAGGTGTTAAACGATCCAATGAGGAAGCCGAAAGGTAATCCTACCTGGGAACAAGATTAGGTTTGAATGGAATGCTGAAACCAGGAATAACATGCCTCGCTTTCTCGTAGACTGTGGCTTTTCGCAGCAGACAATGGAAATCCCAAAGCTAGTGTGAAGGCTCAAAGTATGCTCGGGCTGTATTACTCAACCAAGGAGCCCATGGAGTTAGAAAAGGTGACATGCCCCTCTTTTTTAATGCCAGTGTTATATTTAGATTAATATTTGTTTCACTACTTTTTTTGAGAAAATGGTGGGGAATGTTGTTTTAAATCTCTATTTCCTTAAAATGTAAAGGAAGTGTACATTTTAGGATCTCAAAGCCCTTTCATTTATAAATGTCCTCTTCCCTACCTCTATAGAAGGAAACCATGAATGTGAGAGTATTTTGTGTACTATAGTATCAAAGCTAAAAGAAGAGAAACAGTCCTAAAATTACGGCCAAAATCCTTTTAATCATGAATAGATGAATATTAGCAGTGACTTGAGAAATAATTGATACTAATAAATAAAATATACTAAGAATTAGTTACAAATAAACTCTATCTAAGATTTTCACAGAAATATAATCTTTCATCCACGGTTGAAACAGTTTCCAAAAAAAAATCCTATAGGGAGAAGGAAATGGGGGCCGAGTCCTACTTGTAAGAGAGGAGTTAATGGCAAGTTTGCAAGAGGCATATAACAAGTAAGGCCACCTTCGGATAGATGAGCAGCCACCTGGAATTTTGTAAACGAGTTCAAATTCCCTGTAGCGGAGTATGAGGCAAATGTGCTTGAGGCTACATACAGCGTTTATCGGGGTTGTCTTTGATCGCAGGAGCTGCCATCTCTAGAATCCACAGGGAGCTCGAACTCTCCCTCACCATCAGCAGTCTCCTCTCCTCTGCTGGCCACATGCCTTTCAGACACTTAGTTCCTATTTGGCACCTTCCTGATCCCTACTCTGGAAGGTCCCCAAATCCTGAAACCTAGGACAGCTGGTCCTTCTCTGCCCTAAGCTGTCTGGACTGTGACCTCATCTGCACTGCGGAGAGACGGCAGAGGAACTCACCTCCACACAGCGTTAGGCATGTGTGCTAGTGTGAAATGCGTCCCAAGGCCTACAGCTCTCTCCTAGAGATGGTTAACGGTGCTATCTAGGAGCCACAGATTTCTTTTCTGTCTAGTATTCCCTTATAATTTCATCTAGTGGATCACAATACAATGATGAAACTGTGCTTTTCTTAGGCATTTTACTGGCATTCAGAAGCATGTGGCAATGGAAATCTGGAGTCCCAGGGTGCACTTGGTCTCATGTACTTGTACGGACAAGGCATCCGGCAGGATACGGAAGCTGCCCTGCATTGCTTAAGAGAAGCAGCAGAACGCGGAAACGTCTATGCTCAAGGGAATCTCGTGGAGTATTACTATAAGATGAAATTTTTTACAAAGTGTGTTGCATTTTCTAAAAGGTGAATGTCTGTGTCTGTTTTGTGCTGCTGTAACAGAATACCACACACTAGGTATTAAGAAACAGAAATTTATTTCCCACGGTTCCAGAGGCCAGGAAGTTCAAGATCAAGGTAGGTGTGCTTGTCTGGTGAGGGCTGCAACCTCCATAGGGGAGGACCATCATGTCCTCCCGTGACAGCGGAAAGCTACAGGAAACCTCTTTTATAAAAGGGCTTTAGTCCTGTTCATGAGGGAGGTGCTCTCATGGCCTCATTGCCTCTTGAGGGATCACACTAGCAACACTGGGATTTTGGAAGGAACTTATTATTCAAACCCTAGCAGTAGTGTTGGAATAAACTGGATGAAGCATTGACAAGAATGCCTAAGAATGTTCTATGCCAAATCCTTCACAGAGCTTTCTGCGGTATTAGCAATGGTAGCTACTGAGCACTTGAAATATGTCTAATGCAACTTAGCACTAAACTTTTAAATGTTAATTAACATAAATATTCATATGGCTAGTGGTTACCATACTAGATAGCACAATTCTATGCCATTAGCCTTCAGGATTTCAGTGCTACTAGCTGAAGCAAGTTGCTTAAGGAGCAATTGCTTTATGTGTAAGAAGAGAATACCTTTATAGCAGGATCATAATAGTGTACCTAACACAGCTTGGCATATCACCCGTTTATCACGTCTTCATTTCTTCCTACACTCCTTGGCCATGCAGTTCTATAACTGCACAACTACATATAGCTCCGTAAGAACTGAACATGAGAATATGGTGAAAGACTGAGACTATATCTAATAAAATATACAAAAACGTCTTTTCCCGGAGTCTGTAAGGCTCCGTGTACTTTCCCACACTTATTTACCCAGTGGATAAAAGCAGTGTGTCGGGGACACAGACCTGGGTGTACTCTGGAGTGCCCATCAGACTCTGCGTGTGCTGGTGTTTCCCAGTCACACCCTTCCCACAGCGCCAGGTCTCCCCTCTCTCCGAGCCCTAGTGCAGGGCAGTGATCTACAAGAGGATGGAGGGAGGGAGGGGCTGCTTCTACCCGCGTCCCCAGCGTCTCGGGCTCCAGGCAGCAGACCACTTACAGGAGTGATTGCCCATATCTCAAAGCAAGTGTCCATCTTAGTTAGAACTAAAGCTTTAAATCATTCTTTAAAATCTTTGGCGTTTTCCATTATTTCCCGCATTCCTACTCCGTTAACATTGTGGTTAACGTGGAGGTGACCGGATCGCATTCTCACACGATTCTACGTATTTGTGTCTGGGTGTAAAGGATGACTTCTTTCCCTTGTCCATTTTTAAAGATGGGCTAGTGAAAGGGTTTTCTGGTCCTATGTGGCTAATGTCCAAATTGAAGGTGGCTGTTTCCATACGTGATCCAAAGAAGTGGAAAATGCTTTCTTCTCCACGCAGTTTAAATCCACAGTGACATTCAACTTCCAAGAGTAATATGACAAGAAAAAAGAAACATACCTTTGTTTTCTAATGGTGATTGAGCCTGCTGAGCATAATTACAGAGACGATGTAAAGTCACCACTATGGTAAGCTCGCCTTCTCCTGGTATGAGTTGGCTATACGAACCCTTCACCACGCTGCAAACAACTTAGTTTTCAAAGCAGTAGAGAGAAATCACTTCGGGGACAAGGTCAGTTTCTAGGCACATCGTTTTACAAACACTTACGCCATAACTGATGTCCTTCTCCATTTCACCACTCTACGTCCTCTCAGGATTGCTGACTATGATGAGGTGCACGACATCCCCATGATTGCCCAGGTCACAGACTGTCTCCCGGAGTTCATCAGCAGAGGCATGGCAATGGCGTCCTTCTACCACGCAAGGTGTCTCCAGCTCGGCTTGGGCATCACCAGGAACGAAGCAACGGCTAAGCACTATTATTCTAAAGTAAGCGTTAGAACAAAATATCAGTTCACCCAAAGAGAAACTGCCAGGCTTTAGTTGCAACTTGAAGGGTTTTACGGATTAGTGTTTTTTCTACTCAATTACTGTGCAGATAACCTCTGTCTACAGAGCCGCTGTCAGACATGCAGATTGTTTGCAGACAATTGTCCGATTCTTATTAGCATAATTTAGCTCAAATGATTAAAAGCCCTATTTTGATGCAAATTACTCTTTCATTCTGCTACTATCTGCAGCCTAAGGCCCAGCACTAAGACCTTAAAGCTGAACAGTTTATGTCTTTCATCTAGAAAAAGTGTGAACCTATGTGTTCATTCTAGTATGGTAATGAAATACGGTTTAAAGGTTTTTTTGAGCATGACATCTACCCCACTCAGGAGGGATATTCTTGAGCTTGAGGTAGTCAGTGAAAATAAGCCTTTCATACTTTAATCCGTGTGATCAATTTATTTAGATCCCAAATGCATTTCACATCTCAAAGTAACTACTAAAAACTAAAAAGCAAGGGCTGTGGTAGTTGCGGGGGTGGGGGGGGGGGTGGTAAAGGAGATCATTATGAATACTAAGTTTGGATTTTTTTTTTTTTAAAGAAAAACCAAAAAGCTGGGCATCACATCCATGAGTCAAAATTAGAATTACATCGTAGCAGACTTGGTAGAGCAGTGTTTGTAGTGCACAGATCGTTCAGCCTGAGTGGGGGAACAAGGGAAGGAACAGTCTTCTGAGTCCCTTGGCTGACTCTGATATTACCGCAGTGGTTCCCAAGCTTCTCTGCATGTTAAAGTCACCCCAGGATCTTTTACAAATTCCAAAGTTCAGGCCTTATTTCAGAAAATTTCAATCATGGTCTCTAGGAGACAGAAGCATATTTGTTGAAGCTCCCCATGGGATTCCAATGTCAGGTAAGTTTGGGAACCCTAAATTACTTTAAAATTAAAACTTCCAGAGCATCAAAGCCATATTAACACACAGACACACAGCACACAGCCCAAATGCAACTGATCTTTAAGATATTTACCTCTACTCCATTCTTCGTATGAGTAACAGTTGTCTAACTTTTTTCATTTAAATGCTCTCTGTACTGGCTGGGCACAGTGGCTCATGCCTGTAATCCCAGCACTTTGGGAGGCTGAGGCGGGCAGATCACTTGAGGTCAGGAGTTCAAGACCAGCCTGGCCAACATGGTGAAACCCAGTCCCTACTAAAAATACTAAATAACCCCGTCTCTACTGAAAAATAAAATTAGCCAGGCATGGTAGTGTGCGCCTGTAATCCCAGCTACTCGGGAGGCTGCGGCAGGAGAATTGCTTGAACCTGGGAGCAGAGGTTGCAGTGAGCCAAGATCACACCACTGCACTCCAGCTTGGGACTCCATCTAAAAAAAAAATGCTCTCTGTACTGTACCAGTTTCCAAACCAAGCTGATTTCAGGTTCTATCCTATCCTTAATATCCTTAGAAAACTCTAGTCAAACATATTTTGAAACGTGGTATCTAGTCATCCTGCATAAAGCAGCGAAACAAGGCCAGGCGCGGTGGCTCAGGCCTGCAATCCCAGCACTTTGGGAGGCCGAGGTGGGAGGATCACCTGAGGCCAGGAGTTTGAGACCAACCTGTCCAACATGGCAAAATCCCATCTCTACTAGAAATACAAAAATTAGCCCATCATGGTAGCGCGTGCCTGTAGTCCCAGCTACTCGGGAGGCTGAGGCATGAGAACCGCTTGAACCTGCGAGGAGGAGTGTTGCAGTGAGCGGAGGTTGTGCCGCTGCACTCCAGCCTGGGCAACAGAGTGAGACTCCATCTCAAAAAAAAAAAAGCAAAGCAGATTCCAATCTGAGAATGATTTTCCCTATGATGGGAGAAAACAGCCCCATTACTCTGCGTCTAGGATACTGTACTTTAGGACTCTAGGATACGCATCAAGGATACTGTAGTCAGTTTGAGCCACTGGGGATACCGATAAAATGGAGATAATTTAGAGGCAGTGAACCAGTGAAGGGTCTGGAATGATGTCACATGAGGCATGATATGAGAACAGAAACCTTCTCTCTCAGAGCAAAAGGACACGAGGGGTCCTGACAGTGGCCTTCACTGGACCGGCAGTGTCCCACAGGAAGGGAACAGGTGGGGAGGGAGCAGAATCAGAGCCCATGGCAGGCAGTGTGTTACGGCAGACGGTGAGGCTGTAAGATGGTAACTGGGACCTGGAGGTGACAGACCCAGGCCTGCTCTCAGCTCTGCCACCGTCAGGCAGGGAGACTCCAACTTCCTGGAGTTTTAGGTTTCTGTGAAACCAGCATTTCGTATTCTGTTAGGACCCTTCAAGGATTCTAGAGTGCATGGAGAGAAATACCAGCCTAAAATAAGGGAGAGTTTTCTAACGCAACAATTCAGGAAACATACAAAAACACAGGTTTTCTCTAAAGGTGGCAACTTCCTGCTACTGGCAGCACACAAGCAAACACCTAGTGACCAACTGTCATGGCTACTGAAGGGACAATTTCTGCAGAGAGTGGGGTTTGGATGAGAGCTCTGTCCCGCATTGTTGCCAGTCTAGAAATTATGCACCTTGTCACTGTTTAGACATCATAAGACTATTTTAGCTATATATTTTTAAATAAGATGATTACAGATGCTGTTATTCACATACTGGGATCATAACAACTTTGAGGCCAAATGTTAATGCTTTCCATTTTACTTATCTGAATAATTCATGACATACAATACCATCATTGGTGCTTAAGTTCCCTTGATTCTTGGCACTGATAAAATGTTTTTCAAATTGATCCATTCTGCAGAGGTTAAAGTAGGACATCAGAATAGAAAGTATCTTAACAAATTTCCTTGAAATTTACTGTACTTTACTATTCTTAAAAACGAATCAAAAAAGAAAAAAAAAAAAAAAGAAGAAAGACCCAAACAATGAGAATGTGTCTAAATATCTGACTCTCTTTCGTTTCAAGGCTTGTCGTCTGAACCCCGCACTGGCAGATGAACTTCACTCCTTACTTATTCGTCAAAGAATTTAGACCACAGTGTATTTCAACAAAGATCATCCATGCTAACACCGTACAATGTGTGTATCTTTATAGTAGCTATGACTGGTTATTTTGCACATCGCAAATTACACTATCCTGGGTATTTTACAGGTGACATGTTACTTCGTTCTTGAATTTGTACGCGGTTAAATTTTGCACCTTGAAACCTAGACACAAGGTCAAATTGCTGCAAGAGTCCTCAGAGGTCCACCTCTTACCCTACAGACTGGCCTAGACCATATCAAGTATCAAAACCATTCTACACAGCAAGTCTCTTTTTTTCCTTTCTTAAATACCAAGTCTCCAAAAAGACTTAGTTTAGCTTTAGTAAGTTCAGAAGTAGAAATGATACAAACGTATTTAAAACCATCATTTGAAAGTTTAATTCTTTAAATTTGTCTCTTAGTTTTGTGAATTTTGAATAATGTTTAAATTTTGTTTCAGTCATTTAAAATTTTTTAATGTAAATTCACGAAACTAATTAAGGGTAAAAGACATTTAAAGAATTAAACTTAAATAAGTGTGTGTAGCATTTCTACTTCTGAAGTTATTAAAGCTAAAACTGCACTAAGCCTTTTGAGACATCCTCTATTCTTAAAAAGCTCATAAATAATTGGCTAATTTATTACATATAAACTTCAAAAAAGTGAGTTATAAGACACTGCTTTGGAATCTTGCCCCTCCAAATCTTCCCTCAAAGATCTTAATGTAATGAGTAAAACAACTGCTATATATGTATGCAGAATGTGTAATAAAACAAAAAGCAATTGCTATTTGAAAATATTTATAAGTAAGTTAAAGCAAATTGTTTCTTTGTGCTTCAGCTCATTTTCTACATTTTTAAAACCCTGTGGTAAAAACCTGAATGAAATCATCTACAAGAACTACAAGTAAATACTGTTAAATTAGCAAAAGGCTTTCCTTATATAGATGACATCTATGAAGGCAAAAGGTGACAGTAAAAATAGTAAGATCCATATGCTTAAGACTGTACACGGCTATTCATTTGTGAAACAAATATACATATCGAAGACAGGTCTCAAGAGATACCTTAACTATCCCTTTTTAAATAAACATATTAAATGATGTGGCTTTGTTTTATAAATCACAACCATCCCGACAGTGGATTTAAACAAGATTTCTTTTTTGTCATGGGAAAATGCAGTTAATATGGAGGTGACAGTCACTAAGAACTGTTGAATGGCAGAAAAGTATTTGCTCTAGTTTTATGTTCTGGCTTGTCTGTATTGCTTGAACTTCATTTTGTCTTTGCGTAAGGGAAGAAATTTCAACAGACTCAGGTTTGAGATATCTCAAATTGTCATGTATTTCTGTCTCAAATCTCTTAATACCATCCATGTAACATTCCTTCAACCACTTGAAGATCCAAATTCCCAACCAGTATTCTCTTCTCCACACTTAATCCAGTTCCTAAAGATTTTTTTTTTTTTTTTTTTTTTTTTTGAGACGGAGTCTGTCTGTCCCCCAGGCTGGAGTGCAGTGGCACGATCTTGGCTCACTGCAAGCTCCGCCTCCCGGGTTCCCGCTATTCTCCTGCCTCAGCCTCCCGAGAATCTTTAGGGCCGGGCACAATGGCTCACGCCTGTAATCCCAGCACTTTGGGAGGCCGAGGCGGGCAGATCACCTGAGGTCGGGGGATCGAGACCAGCCTGGCCAACGTGGTGAAGCCCCGCCTCTACTAAAAATACAAAAATTAGCCGGGCGTGTAGTCCCAGCGACTCGGGAGGCTGAGGCAGGAGAATGGCTTGAAACCGGGAGGCGGAGCTTGCAGTGAGCCGAGATCGTGCAATTGCACTCCAGCCTGGGCGACAAGAGTGAAATTCCGTCTCCAGAAAAAAAAAAAAAATCTTAAAATAGGAACATAATAAAAGATCGACCCTAACTAAAGAGCACTTTTTAAACTGCCATTAAAAGATGGGTTTCAGAAATCTTACACTTTGACGTGTGCCATATGTGGTAACATGCTGTGCTTAAATGTCTTCCATAAATCCAATGCAGAATGTAAAATTTCAGTTTACTGTAGTTACCATAAAGCTGATGCTCTGGCACAAGTGAGCCCGTGCAGACTACCACTGCTGAGGACAGTAGTAACCCCCTTGACCTGCGAGTGCGGTGAGTCTGTAACTCGAGCTGAGGCTTCCAGATCATGACTCTTACACACACACACACACTCCTTCTCTAAGATTCCTTATAGCTGATATCTCATGGAAAAATGACAATTTATCATAAATAAATATAGAGACAAAATAATAGTGATCTTTCTCATTTGCAATATAAACTTAACAGCTACAGTTTAAATGATAGCATAGAATTATGCCTAAAATGGACATTTCCAATAATTGTATTATGATAAGTTCTCTGGGCTTGACAACTTCACCTTGCCTCTCTTCCTTGAATGTATTTTATCTGTTTTTTTCTATATAGTCTTTTGAAGGATAATTTTTATCAATAGCCAACTTTGGGTATTTTTTTAAGTATCAAATATCACGGTCTGAAAAAAGGATAAAAAAGCTATAATGAAAAAAATCTTAAGGATAACATTTGGTTTACTAATTTTTAATCATTTATCTTTCAGAACTTGTTTCTTATCAAGAAGTTGGCAGGTATGATACGTATATTATACGTATATAAACTGGCACAGGTTACATACTGGGGCATTAGGGGAGTATCTTTCAGGGATTCAAACTGAATTTTTACCTTTTACTTGTTTTGTTTTGTTTTCAATATTCTTGGGGATTAGAGAGGGGAAAGTATGTTGTTGTTGCATAATAGATGGTGAAACCCAGGAAAATGAAGTACCTGTCCATGGTCCCACTATCAGTAACACGAAGTCTGTCCTCTGGATCTCCCCTAATGCCCCTGTGGTCTAAAAGGCTCGATGATACAACCGAGCCCCTGAAGTAGCTGCCGTCCTCCTTCCACTCCCCCATCTCCGCCTGCCCATACTCCGAGGGTCAGCTCCCATCTCTCCTCCCTAATGCCTCACTTCAAGCACTCATTTGGCTCTTTCTGCTCACTAAAAATCATAGATTTCACAGATTTATTTTGTTTCTGGAGAAGGCAGCAAACTTTTACTTCCCTGCAGAAGTAGTTAAGCGCATAGCGTTTTCTCTAAAAAGGCATTCAATAAATATTTGAACTGCCTGTAGAGTTTCAACCTCTTTGAGATGTAAGTATCTTAAATATCATAGAGCGCTGTGATTCATTTTTATATTTTATTGCTTCGAATGCTAAAACTATGGGAAATCTTTGGTAAAAATAAAGACAATAAAATCTTCACAATAACTTTACACAAAGCATTGCACTACAATGTTCTTCAATATACATGAAATAATATAAGAAAGTTCACAATCCTCAGTGAGGAAATTAACTGTACAATATTCATAGTTCATTTTAAAACAAAATATTTTCATAAATATTTAAAATACTTCCTAGGTTCTCACATATTAACATTTGTATTTCAATCAGTATGTTGATCTTTAAAGTATTTATATTAAATAAAAATCAATAGAAGTTTTTTTCTGTTGCCTACCACAGCGTAAGTCCCGTCCTCCCCGATTCTGCTTATTTCACATAAAACTAGAGGGAGGTAACTAAAATAAAAATCAGTATGGTTCTCAGTCAAGCCCTCTGTGGAAAAGAGGAAAATGTTTCATGTCTATTATTACACAGACATTTTTGTGGTGGTTTATTTGTGCAGTCTCAAACTTGGCCAGCTTTAAGTTGATCTAAATGAGTTCTCAGCTCGGGACACAGTTCAATTAGCAGCAGTTCCATCAGTACCTGAACCAAGAAAGAAGGAAAAAAGTAGAAAAATGTTTTTCTCCAAGGGTTTATTCAAAATAAATATCTGTGTCTAAGAGAAAAGTCTAATTTTAGGTCTGAAATAATCTCAGTAAACAAGTAACTCTCAAACAGTATTTAATATTGGTAACTATAATCAGAGAGATAACTGGGAAACAGTTGGCTTTGCTGAAATAAGAAAACCAACCAGTTAGGCGGCAATGTTATATCAAAAGTCAAGGGAGGATGGGCACGGTGGCTCCTGCCTGTAATCCCAGTACTTTGGGAGGCCGAGGCAGACAGATCACCTGAGGTCAGGAGTTAGCAACCATCCTGGCCAACATGGCGAAACCCTGTCTCTACTAAAAATACAAAAATTAGCCAGGTGTGGTGGTGCACGCCTGTAGTCGCAGCTACTCGGGAGGCTGAGGCAGGAGAATTGCTTGAACCCAGGAGGCAGAGGTTGCAGTGAGCCGAGATCACACCACTGCACCCGAGCCTGGGGGACAAGAGGAAACTGTTTCAAAAAAAAAAAAAAAAAGTCAAGGGAAATGACTAGCCTGTGAGAATGCGAGCGTGCAGTCACTGGGGTACGTGCTTTTTCTAACCAAATGAAGAAACAGACAAAAATGAGCAGAAAACCCCCTGGGCTTTAATTTACTCACGTATAACAGATGCTTGTTGGCTCTTGTTTCTTGCAGTGCACTGAATATTTTTATTATACCATGGCGGGCATTTTGCTGTCCAACAAGGCTCTGAAGCGTATCTGAAAAATTAAGTTTACATTCTATGCTGCTATTGATAGAGTGCTCAGTGCATAGCTTTGCGGTGAAAGGAATATAACATGATACACATGCAGTCAATAAAGACACGGAGGCATGAGAAACATGAATGGTCAGTTCTCGCAAATGCTTCAGGAGAGGATTTTTCAACATAAGGCATTTATACAAATTACAGTTTTAATATGTTGCAACTACTAATTTTAATAATTAAAATGTTAATGTTTTGCTAAAAATTAAGCTCTCAAAACACTATACTTTAGCAGAATTTCCAAAACACAAAGTTTATTATCTGTTCTAAAACATTTTTCAAGTTAACATTCTCAGTATAACTTCTTAGCAAGTGAAAAAAAATGGCTTAAAAGAGTATGATCCTTTCTTTTTTTTTTTTCATTGTAAAACACGGTTCCTGCAAGACATAAATGAAAATCACCTCAATGGGGTTCACATTCCCCCATGATCTCTAATAGCTCAGGCCTCACCTGGAATGTTTTCAAGCAGCTTTTGCTGCGCTCTCTGTTTTGTTTCCTGACTTTGCTCTTCGCTTCTGATTGTGGTCGGTGGTGCCAACTTCCCATGTGGCCAAAAAGCATCCCGGAAAATAGTGATGTAGTAAACCAACATTTGTTCACTGAAAATCCAGTTGACTGTGTCCCGGATTTGTCTTTTAAGAGAAGAAGATTTCTTGGATGAGGTTTTTAAAAATTGTGTACTCTACTCTCAAAAGGCACTTATCAATGCGAAGGTTAAGATACAGCCTGATCTAAATGTTTAATGAAAAAACTAGGAATTGGATTTTTTAAACTCTGGCTCTGAAAGTTATATATATTTTTAATTATTATTATTTTTTGAGATGGAGTCTTGCTTTGTCACACATGCTGGAGTGCAGTGGTGCAATCTCGGCTCACTGCAACCTCCGCCTCCCGAGTATCTGGAACTATAGGTATCTGCCACCATGCCCAGCTGATTTTTGCATTTTTAATAGAGATGGGGTTTCGCCATGTTGGCCAGGCTGGTCTCGAACTCCTAACCTCGGGTGATCCACCAGTCTCGGCCTCCCAAAGTGCTAGGATTACAGGTGTGAGCCACCACGCCTGGCCAATTTTTTTATTTTGGTAATACTGCATGACCATTTATTCCTAGAGCTAGTTTTGTCATTGGCACTGACTTCTCCAAATGTCGGCTGTGTTCAGTCTATAAAGACAAGAACAGAGAGATTGAGCTGTCTGCAGACTGCAACATTTCCATGAAGTGTTATAAGGTGAAAACATAAATCCATTTCAAGACTGTTAGAAGTGGTCTGGAAAACCTCCTGAGGTCCTGAAGGCGTGCAGGAGGAGCAGGCTTTCCATAGCTGTCTTTTAGTGTTGCTGTGGCAGAGAAAGCTGGGCAGGATACTCGGATCCACATAAAGCACTTCACATGCCCATGAGGCAAGGAAAAAGACAGTCCCTTTCACAGATACACCGCTATGTGGCCAATTTCAAAATTCCACAAGAACGAAAACTGGGTGGCAGGCATTTGACTTGCAGAGTTACGCATTTGAGTTGGTTACCCAGGTCTTCCACACAACCCCATTTCATCAGTCATTAGTCAAATTCTTTTTTTTTTTGAGACAATCTGGCTCTGTCCCCCAGCCTGGAGGGCAGTGGCACAATCTCAGCTCACTGCAACCTCCGCCTCCTGGCTTCAAGCGATTCTCCTGCCTCAGCCTCCCAAGTAGCTGGGACTACAGGCATGTGCCACCATGCCCAGCTAATTTTTTGTATTTTTAGTAAAGACAGGGTTTCACTGTGTTAGCTAGGATGGTCTTGATATCCTGACCTTGTGATCCGCCTGCCTCAGCCTCCCAAAGTGCCGGGATTACAGGCGTGAGTCACCGCACCGGGCCAGTCATCAGTCAAATTCTAGCCAGTTACAGGTCCTCTGCTGTCAAGAGACAACTACACACAGTTCAAAGAGCCCAAGAGTGGTTGTGAGGTTGGGAGGAGAAAGTCTCTCCACTGAAAAGGGGGAAAGAATCATCTTAGACTATTTGTGCCAGAAAGACTTCACATTTCAAACTCAATTCATGAATAATAATATATAAAAAAGCCCTTGAAGAATCTGACTTCCAACCAGAATTTTAAATGGACAACGTAAGGTTTTCAGATAGTATCTAAAATAGATGTTTCAAGTCCAGTACTTTGCACATAGTAGTCAGTCACTATTGAATGTACATCTAAACTCCACTATGAGTAAAACTACACTGTCATCTCCATCTATAGCTGCACATCTCCCAGACTCTTCTCTATATTTCTTGGAACTGTGCAATTCAAATCTAGACCATATAAAATAAGTTTATTAATTTAACGGAATTTGTGGTTCACGAGAGCATCTGCTGACCTGCCTGCCTACCTTCCTAAAATTTCAGTTTACAACTTGAGATTAGGAAGTGACTCTTCATAAAGGTCATCATCTAAGTTATTTTCTACCAATTTAGATCTGACTTTCTATCAGCCGAAGCCCGTCCGATGCTTTTGAAGCAATTCTAGCATGTGAAATTGTAGTCTACAATACAAGGCAAGAGACACACACTGTGCTGCTGCTTAATTTCATGATGCGTCATCATCTGCCGAAGGCAAAAATAGCAAAGAACCATGTGCTCCATGATCACTACTTGACAAAAAGCCCACTGAAATCAACAGCCTGCAAATCCTCTACACGCGCCTCTTCTCCATCCCCGTGAAAATAACTGCCCGATGTTATACACCACTCACAACCCACGGCTGCTCATTTCATAATTAAGAGCCAATATCATAAATAGGAACAAGGCAAGTATGCATGATTTGCTGAAACTGAAAAGGAAACTAAATTAGCAAGTCCTGAGTACTGAGAAACAGAAGGCCATCTGGGGAATTTCTTTTAATTACAGGTGCATGCACCCACCATGCCTGGCTAATTTTTGTATTTTTAGTAGAGATGGGGTTTTGCCATGTTGGCCAGGCTGATCTTGAACTCCTGACATCAAGTGATCCACCTGCTTCGGCCTCCCAAAGTGCTGGGATTACAGATGTGAGCCACTGTGCCTGGCATTTTTTGGGGAATTTCTTTATCTAAGGCTTGTCAATACAAAAGAGGTTTGTTTGCCTTAGACTAAAACAAAAAACTAAACAGGCCATTTTATCTGATTAGAACAAAAGCCTATGATACTTACGTCAACTAAAGAAGCCTCTAATGGACAACTACAACTTTTTTTTTTTTTGAAAAAAGGTCTTGGTCTTTCATCCAGGCTGGAATGCAGTGGCTCACGGCAGCCTTGACCTCCCGGACTCAAGCAGTCCTCCCGCCTGAGCCTCCTGAGGAGCTGGAATCACAGGCTTGCGTGTACTACCACCCCTGGCTAATTTTTTTATTTTCTGTAGAGACGGGGTCTTAACATGTTGCCCAGGCTGGTCTTGAACTTCTGGGCTGAAGCAATCTGCCCGCCTCGGCCTTCCAAAGTGCTGGGATTATAGGCATGAGCCACTGTGTCCAGCCAACTAAAACTATTTTTTTTTAACCTTAGGTAGAAGTAAACTTGTTTCTGACCACAAGGAAAATATATTCATTGGCAAATCAATAAAAAAAATAGCAAATATTCTTTACAGTGTTTCCTATAAAAATCTATAAGCTTTATTTGGTAAAACTATCATATTAACCTTGTACCAATGTCTGACCACTAAATCTTTCACTTGGGAAAATCTGGTAATTTCACCTTAAAACTTATTTTGTTATATCAAAAAGTGATTTTTTTTTTAATTTCTAGAAGCTGACTCATATTCCTATTCTGCAGGAAATCATAATGTTTATCTTGTGAAGAATTCTGGGTATAGAGTTACCATATAAAAGATCTTGATAACAGTATTTCCAAATTCCAGGTGTAGAGATGAAGCAGGAACCAGGCCAGGGGGCCAGGTTAGGTCAGCTAACGGGTCTGGTGACTTCAGACAAGCAGTTGATCTCTTTGGTTCCACTTCTTCACCAACAAAATGAGCAGTTAGACTAATCTCTAAGACCTCCTTTCAGGCCTAAAGCGATCTAAATCTATTCAACTTCTATTGGCTACGTGACTTTGCAGTTATGAAAAATTCCAATAATTTCTTAGAAACTGATAATAATTGACTGTATTGAGTTCTCAATAACAAACCCAGGGCTTTCATAAATGAATGATCAAAATGTGGACTACCTTTTATGAGCAACATTAGAACACTCAGTGAAAGACAGGTATAAGTATATAATACCTTTATGTATATGGATAATATAATATAGTTTAGAATATACATATGGCTTCTAACAGTGCTAGATGACAGGGCCACACATGCACCCCAGTGGATACTCAGATATTAACTAACAAGAAGAGTTAGCACTTCAGTGCTAGACAACTCTAAAAACCTTAATATATGGTCTGTATTTTCCTCTAAGTAAACACCTGCCATGTGATGCTCATCCTACTTTCCTTCTGGCTTAGAGTCTAAACCTTAAACTGATTCTCATTATTTGACATAAAAATATTCTACCCAAGATACTCAAACTAGTTGTCGTGATCAAAGGGGAGCTTACAGAGCACAGCCTCCTGACCCGCGCCAGTCAGAGTGCGGAAGTAGCTCAAGCTTTTCTTATCTAACTCGCCATATGCATTCTGTGGGAGAAATTCTTTCAGAAACCGATTCTCCTATCCAATCTTAGAATCATATCAGAAACGAAGAGAGAGAGAAAATAAAAGACTTTCAGTTAAATCACTGGCTGCTAGATCATAAGGTAATTTGACTGTCAAGGCAAGAGTACGGCATAGATCCAAATATTAATTTCATACAACTCACTTGTTGATGGTTCTTCCAAAAGTGACCTGAACGAGGGCAATTAATGTTCTTCTCACCCATTTAAACACTAAAACAGAAACCAGAGGAAAACTTTTTATCACAGGGTATCACAATTTGGGACATTTTCATAGCTGTGCAAAGCATAAATCTTACCACTTAAGATCATTTGAGTCCTGCCATCAAGTCAAGACTATGATATCTGCAGAATTTGGGTTTAGGTTAGTGAAATTCTGCTCAGGAAAACTCTTCTGACTAGGCTTTCATTTTCTACTAAGCAACGGATGAGATGAAACCAGAGTTTTTACAGTGTTTCAATGCCTCCCAACAGCTGAGCTCGCAAGTGTTAAGAGTACTTCATCTGTCCCTGGGCTATTGACAACATGTCTGTTTTCCACCAGCACACAGTGTAATTCTATTTTAGATTTCTGTCTGGCTTGCTGAACCCAATTCTGAACACACTGCGGAATGAGAAACATTTGTAGTCAAGTATTTTGAAATATTAATGAACTGACGGGTCTAACTGTTCCCGTTTGAAGCAGTTTGCAGATCACTGCGTACTTTATATAGACCACGTATTTGGGAGAGGATAAGTGAACGGTGAAGAGCCAGGACCTGAATGAGAAATGCATTTGTAGTCTCCAGTGCCACCGCCCAGCAGCAGGGCACAAGTCACCTTCTCTGCACCCCAATTTCCTCCTCTGGAAAGGATGGTATTAACATGTGTCTCTCTCTGCGCTGAAGGTCTTTCCCCATGTGTGTGGAAAAGACTGCGAAGGGTTCTACAGATCTACACTTTTATTATTGACACAGAGACACATTTTTATAGGTATAGAAAATGAACATAAACCAACAGAAGGCAAAGAAATGCTATGAGGATATTTTAGGTTCACAAATTGGAACTTAAACCCAAATTTTCATTTATATATTCACCTCCATCTATTGAAGTGTTTGGCTACTGACATACGAGGAAATAAGAAATTCAGACTCGGTCATAATGGGGCCAGGAGTTCAGGGCTCTTGTATCCACTAAGAAAAAGTAACAATGGCAAATTCCCAGACATCTCTGTACAAAGGCAACCACACAAATAAAAATCATAGAAAACATAGACTTAGCACTAGACTTCAATATACTCTAAAGCCATTTCTAATTTTTTTAATGGATCAAAATATCCAGTTAAAGTAGTATGAATCCCTCATGTAAAGTCAAGTCTTAGAGTCGGAACCATACCTCAAAAATGTCTTAAACTTTTTGATGGAATTTGCTGGAATGCTGCCAAGCATGTAGACGTGTTCGTTTTAGGTTGGCATTGAGGCTGGGATGAGCGTCTGTCAGTGATGATAACTTCACTTTGCCTTTCTAGGGCAGGAAAGAGGTGGCTCATACCTAGAGGGTCTGAGGACAAGTGCAACTCTAGGAAGAGTGCCTGACGACCAAGGGGTTATTTTTAAAAAGAAAGGGGCAGGGGTATTACTGGTCCCTTTCTGTATACTAGAGCAAAAACCAAAACTCATTTTGCTACAAATTTTCTATCACTGATAGCCCCTTACTCTATTATTTTTCCCTCACCTTCCCTAGTCCCCAGTACCCCGATACACACACACACACGAGCCCCATTACTCCAAAGCCTTGTTTGTTCAAAGCCACAGAGGCAGCTGCACGAGCACTAGGATTCTGCTGATGACGAATAGATCACATCTCATTATAAATGAGGTTCTATTTATTCTCTCTGAAATGCCACTAGCAAAACCAAATATGCTCCGAGCAGGCAGAGATGGAGGAAGTGCATGCTGCAGGCATGGTGAGGAGCCCTGCTCTGGCTGATACTGGCTCTGACACGCCTGCCGTGTCTCTTAAGCTCTGTACCAACAGCAAAGACAAAAACAATGATGAAGGCTAGGACAGGGTCCTCATTCTTATCAACTCTATAGGAAACTGGGGAGATGCATGATTTAATGGGCCACATTTCACCAAAGAAGAGTCAGACTTTGGGTAGATTATTATTTGTCTATATTGAATCAAGTTAAACATCACTGTGTATGTCTTAAAGCGTCCCAAATATTGAAAGGCTATTAGGTTTTTTATCTGAAAGGAGTTTTCATATGTGGATGATATGCCACCATATAGATACTTCTTCAGTAAGTTATCTTCCATTTCTAAAATTTATCTTAGTTTCAACTTTTCATTATTGTAATTATGCGAAAATATCCTTATGTGTAAATCTCTGCCTGCGTTTTAGAATTTCATTTTGTCTATTGCTTAATGTGAATTACATTTTTGGACCCCTTAATCTGAAAATTCACTGATGGCAGAATCTGCATCTGATACGTTTTTGTTTCCCTACAGATCTGTATCTAAAACATATGGTCTCAAAGTGTTTGATGACTGACATCATATATTCTCTTGGCTTTGGCTCAGAAGCTGTCAAAGTGTTTGATGATTGACATTATACCTTCTCTTAGCTTTGGCTCAGAAGGAGAAAAATGTCAATGAGCAAAGATAGCAAAGATAATTCATTCTGGCACTTAACATTTTTCTTGCCTATTCACTCATCAGAGCATCCATCCAGGTATGTTACTGATCACCTACCATGGATCAGGCATTGTAGGGGATACTGAGGATTAAGACACAGAAGACAAATTCCAATTGCACTTGAAATTTTTTCATCTGTTAACAATTCTTTAAGTGACATGTTAAGGGATTTATAAATGAGAAGGGATCCACGGCCCCATTTCCTATGTAAGACCAATTGGTAGCCTACTCCTTTGCCTCAAGGGAAAAGGTGCTGATATGAATGACAGAGCCCAGGACATTGCTGCTGCATTGTTTGGCTGGCTGGTGCCATTACTGAGCCTTACTAACCCTTGCTCTTATCATTTGCTTCCCCTTCGAGGTGGTCAGGTGTGCCCGTGGGCACCTGCCATATCTCTAGCTGGTACTGAGGCTCCAGGTATGACAAAGTCTGCTGGTGTCAAGACTTAGAGTGTTGGGAGCTGTGAATGTGTGGACGGAGAGTAGTATTAAGTCCTATTCAACACTTAACACTAAGCCAGGGAGTCCGTTTACCTGTCACCAAGGTGATGCTTTCGGGGAGATGCACTTGTACAGCTCTTAAAGAAACAGAACTTTGATGCCCATTTTACAATGGTTTCTTCTACGTACATCTCTCCTTGAGGAATCACTAGGGCAGGATTTCTCAACTCTAGCATTGCTGTCATTTGGAGCAGGATAACTCTGCCGCGGGGCTGTCCTGAGCACTGTAGAATGTTTAGCAGCATCCCAGACTCTACCCACGAGATGCCAGTAGCACCCCTCACTCCAAGGTATGACAATCAAAAACATTTTCGGACATCACCATATGTCCCTCCCTCCCTCCATGAAGAACTACTGCTCAAGAGGAAAAAAGGTAGCTGAAAAACAGGGTACAGGCATTCCCACGTCCTTGCCATGGAATTATCCTAACACCAAAACTCACTCTTAACAACAGGATTCTTACTGTGCTATGCAGAATAGTTTTCTGTATAACTTTTAGTGATAAGGCAATGAAGCTACGCCAAGTCACATAAAAAGGATTCCAACCTTCTGTAGTCAGAGGAACATGGTGCAAAGTAAATCAGGATGCTACGCTACGTTAGGACAGAGATGATATCTGTCTTGGGGTGGTATATGTAGCATAGTGTCTACTTGGCTTTTTTTTTTTTTTTTTTTTTTTTTTTTTTTGAGACAGAGTCTCGCTGTCACCCAGGCTGGAGTGCAGTGGTACAATCTTGGCTCACTGCAACCTCCGCCTCCTAGGTTCAAGCGATTCTCCCGCCTCAGCTTCCCAAGTAGCTGGGACTACAGGCGCCGCCACCACGCCCGGCTCATTTTTGTATTTTTAGTAGAAATGGGGTTTCACCATGTTGGCCAGGATGGTCTCGATCTCTTGATCTCATGATCCACCCACCTTGGCCTCCCAAAGCGCTGGGATTACAGGCGTGAGCCACTGCGCCCGGCCTGGGTTGGCTCTTAAAAGGCTATGTTGAATGAATGGAAGCATGAATATAAATACATGTCTGATGCATTTCAGCAATAAAGTGATATTAAATGCATGTGCATGTACGATTATGTATACCACTTAACTAGCAAATACCACTAAGTAATAACAAAGAAGCTTACTTCCTCGAAGTTCAAAAATCTCCCCAATCAACATGAAACATGGTTCAGCCAAGGCGTCTTTCCTCCCATCCACGTCATCGCCATAATCTGACAGGTCACTGTCCTCCTCTGTCTCCTCCTGGGAATACAGCAAAGTCATAGGAAGCAGATAACTTATCCAAGAAAATTGGCAGAGTTGTTCTCCTTTTTCAAGTGTAAATCCCAAACTATCTACTCGTATTTTAGCCTTAATTTTTCAGTTTTCATGCAGAAACTATCCATTCTCAACACAGAGGACAGAATCAGAAAAGCTTGAATCTAGAGCCTTATTCAAGGCTTAAAATAAGCTAATTTTAAAAAATCTGTTACTGTATTAATAATCGTTAATCAATAATGAATTAACAGACAATAAAATCGTTTTCTAACCATTTTGAATTTCAAAACTAAGGCTTTTAATTTATTTTATTTTATTTTTTTTAGTTTTATCTCCCTTAAAACAGCAGGAAGTAAATATTTCTAAATTCACTTTTTTTTTTTTTTTTTTACAAACATGCATTTTAAAGTAAATTGGTTATTTTTAAAGCTGTGACTTAAGCTTTTATTCTGTCCTTTGGCTAGTCCCATTTCTTCATCTGCACATCAGCAGGTTTCAGTTAAAAACTCATATGATCTACCAGGCACCAGGCTAGTGCAAATGGAGTTTGAGGATGTGTGAGGTGTGTGAGGTGTGTGTGAGGTGCCTTCTGGGGAGACTGACAGACACACAGGGCAGGACAAAGTGCTGTCCCAGAGGTGCCAACGTTAGGTGCTGGAAGCAGCTGAGGAAGTGTACCGCAATGTCTGCGTAGAGGCAGAAGCTGCAGTGTGGGCCCAGGCAGGTCTTTGGGAGGTACTTACATCAGGCGAGCAGAGGAAGGGATGAGGAAGTCATAAAAGCTAGAGGAGTTCCCTAAAACCTCACAGCATCACAGAAGTCCAGCAACAGCAAACGCCTCAAAGAGGCTGAGAAAGGTAAAGACTGAGAGGAAGCCACTGGCAGCTTCAGGTCACTTCACAGAGTGACTGAGCCATATGTCAACTCCAGAGGTTCAGGAGTAAAAGGGAGGTGAGACAGGTAAGCCAGCCAGGTACAGACGGACACATGAAGGAAAGAGGGGGAGACGCTTGGGGGGCCATGGGTGGACGTGTGGACCGGAGCAGGGGGTGTGCTCTGTGGGACGTGCTGACTTTCGCGCCAGCTGAGAATGCAGAAGAGCAGTGTGCTCCTTTTCACCATCAGTTCCTCTGTCCAAACTCGAAGCCACCTCCGATGAAGAGGCAGTGACATCTGGCAGTGGACTGAGGGGAAGCCACATTTCAGAGGTGGTCCTGTGCAATGTGCAAGAGGGCCAGGCAAGGTACCTCTGTGGTGTGCACAGGAGTGCACAGCCTACTCTGGAGAGAAGTCTGGGTTCAAAAGATGAGATCGAAAGCTCTGCAGGCTCTATACATTCCCTTATCCACACACTACTGCCAGATCATCCTGCTTCAGTATAGCCCATGCTTCTTCATGCCTGAGAATATAGCCTAAACTCTCAGCCTGGCGTGAACCTCACCCCTCCCCGCTTCTGTGCTGTACCTCATCTTCCATTAGAGCACGGCACAAAGCCTCCAGTCCAGGCCAACGACCTCCAGCCTATTCCATAAACACAACCTCCTCTATTGAACCTTTAGCATGAACCCCCCACCCCCACCCACGACGGCCCACACTCGGCCTCCCTAGACCTGGGGACTGGCGCCCCACGTGTAGCGGGGTTCCTGCAGAACTTCCTACTCTCCTTTCACTTACCAACTCTGAAGTGGTAAAACCACTTTGTCCTCCCCTGCGAGTCACTTGGAAGAATTAAGATACAGAAATACAAGCAGGTGCCTCAAAATGTGACAGTGATGATAGCTGAAAATGGAGGGATGTGCTTCCCCCCATGAGGAGCACGAGCTTAGTATCTGCTGAAATACGCTACAAAAGTGGTTCGCCCTTTGGACGGCTCACCTCCTGGTGGGAGAAGAAGTCGCGAGGAAGTCTTTCCAAAAATGAGGATAATGAAAAGGAATTTTTTTTCCCCTGCACATCAATAACCTTGAGGTAGTCAGGAGAAGGGCTCAAGAAGGCATAAAGTGCTTCACTCTGACACAGTCTTTCATCTGACAGCAGATTCTGTGGAAGAAAGAGGATTAACGCTCTAGTGTGGGAAACCGTCTGTGTGGCTGGGAGCTACCAGCAAAGGCAAGCGAGGCGGAGCTGTCACAAATTTACTTTCCTCAGACTTCTGAGCATAAAACCACTTCCCCTTCCCCCTGAAACAAACTACATAAGATCAATTCTTAATGATCTTAATGGCAAACAATCCTCTCCAGGTTAACTAGTGGTGCCCAAATCACTCCGCTCATGGGAGACCCCGATGCAGACGGCAGAACTCGCTCCACTCTGTACCGCTTGGTACAGCGGAAGATTCTTACTTTCCAGCTCACAGATCCCAGGTGCTACCACTCTTGAAATACAACTTTCACTCATCTGTGTTTGACCAACTTAAATTTTTGCAAATTACACATGGATACCTCTAAGTTGCTCTTTTATGGTTATATTCAGACTTTGTACATCAGCTGAAAAAAAGAACTTTGAGTTATCACATGGTGGCACTACCTGCCAGGCAATAGTTTCATTTCCCTGTGCTGCCACTTTCCAGGCAGTGTGCGTTTACATAATTATGTAACAGTTTCTTTGCTTTTCTTTTTTTTTTGAGACGGAGTCTCACTCGGTCATCCTCGGTCATCGTGCAGTGGCGCGATCTTGGCTCACCGCAACTTCCACCTGTCAGGTTCCAGCAATTCTCCTGCCTCAGCCTCCCAAGTAGCTGGGACTACAGGCGCGTGCCATCACGACCAGCTAATTTTTGCATTTTTTAGTAGAGATGGGGTTTCACCATATTGGCCAGGCTGGTCTCGAGCTCCTGACCTCGTGATCCGCCTGCCTCGGCCTCCCAAAGTGCAGGGATTACAGGTGTGAGCCACCGCGTCTGGCCATATATAGCAGTTTCTACTGGCCCTCAAACTGGAAAGTTCCAAAAGTTCTGTATGTACTGACCTGGCCTTAGAAGAGAGTAAAGAAGAACATAAATTGAGCTTGTCTATGTACAAGCAAGTGCTACAGTAAGACGGCAAAATTAACAACGTGACCACAGAATATTTACACATCTAGTATTATAAGACGTCAGGCTTAGGAATAAGTAAACCTACAGGAACTGTCAGCCACGTAGGGAGATGGAACACTCAGGAGCCAGCTATGCCTCTGATGACACAGTGTTGGGGGAGGTGGAGATTCAGTTCCAGAGGGGTTGGTCCATGACGGCAACATCCTATTTGTTGAGATGGCAAACGACTTGACAAGCGCTACGACCTTTCCTAGAAAAATCACCTCTGAGAAGGCCCAATACTGCCACGCTGGGGACAAGGGGTCCACGGAGCACCATCGGCATTCATGTACCCTGCAGAAGACTGGCCTGGAGGTGGGCAGGCCGTGCCATCACCATTGAGAAGGAGATTAAGGGAAATGGACAGTGCCCCTACTGCCCTCCCTGTCCCGGAACGCTGCAGTCTTTGTTTTTCAGAATTAAATGGTCAGTTCAACTTGTATGTGAGGATGCACCAGAAGGAGTGAGATATTCTCCCCCTACCTTGATGTCCTTCCCTCATCTACTCTCTAACATTTCACAAAATAGCAGGATATGATACTAATGGTAAGTCTCAAATTTAATACAATCAGCATATTAATAGGGAAATCATTACAGATGTAAATCTTTGACCTTAAATTATATTCAATTATGAAGGAAAACAACTCAAACAATTCAACAGCAAAACACGCAGACACACACAATAATCCCATTAAAAAGTGGGCAAAGGACTTGAATAGAGACAAATGAAAACATAAAAATAGAAAACAGGTACATGAAAAAATTATCAACATCATGAATCAGGGAAATATAAATCAAAGCCAGGAGACACCATCTCGTGCCAGACAAAAGAAGTGTTGGTAAGGATATGAAAGAAAAGGGAACCCAAGTACACTGTTGGTGGGACTGTAAATTAGTACAGTCATTATGAAAAATGGTACAGAGGCTCCTCAAAAAATTAAAAATAGAGCTACCATATGATCCAACAATGTCACTACTGGATATGTATCCGAAGGAAATGAAATCAGTTTGCCAAAGAGATATCTGCATTCCCATGTTTAAAGCAGCACTATTCATAATAAAGAGGCAAGACATGGAATCAACTTAGGCGTTCAACAGACGATTGGATAGAGAAAATGTGGTATACATACATCAAGCTTGTCCAACCCACAGCCTGTGGGCTACATGTGGCCCAATGCAAATTTGTAAACTTTCTTAAAACATTATGAGATTTTTTTGTGATTTTTTTTAAAGCTCATCAGTTATCATTAGTGTATTTTATGTGTGGCCCAAGACAATCCTTCTTCTCGCAGTGTGGCTCAGAGAAGTCAAAAGATTGAACAAGATGGAATATTATTCAGCCATAAAGAAGAATGAAATCCTGCCGATTGCAACAACGTGAATGAACCTGGAGGACCTAAGTTGAGTGAAACAACCAGAAAGACAAATACTGCATGACCTCACTCATCTGCATAATCTGAAAAAAAATGGATATATTAAGAGGTAGAGAGAGGTGGTTACCAGAGACTGGGGAGGTAAGGATGGCAGAGATTGGTCAATGGCTGGAAAGTTACAATTTAACAGGAGGAATAAGTTCTGGTGTTCTATTGCTCGGTTGGGTGACTGGCTAACAGTAAGGTATTATATATCAAAAAGGAGCGAGAAGAAAGGCTTTTTAATGTTCTCACCACAAAGAAATGATAAATGTGGCTGGGCACAGTGGCTCACACCTGTAATCCCAGCACTCTGGGAGGCCAAGGCAGATTGGTCACCTGAGGTCAGGAGTTCGAGACCTGCCTGTCCAACATGATGAAACTCCAACTCTACTAAAGATACAAAAATTAGCCAGGCGTGGTGGCATAATCCCAGCTACTTGGGGGGCTGAGGCATTAGAATTGCTTGAACCCAGGTGGTGGAGGTTGCAGTGAGCTGAGACTGCACCACTGCACTCCAGCCTGGACAAGAGAGCAAGAGTCTGTCTCAGAAAAATAAAGAAATGATAAATGCATGAGGTGATGGATATGCTAACTGCTGTGATTTGATCATAACATATACATGTATCAAAACATCAAACTGTACCTCATAAATACATACAAGTGCAATGTCAATTTAAATAATTCTTTAAAGGATACAAATATGCAGAGTATTTTTTTCAGTCTCAGAATTTCTAGCTTCTACTGCATAGACAAAACTTGTTTTATGAGGCAAAGTTCCATGCCTCTGAGAACTTCAGGGCTTTAAGAGCCAAGGTGTGATTAACAATTATACTCTGAATATAGATGGTGCAGCAAAGGAAAAAACAGTGGTCGTTATTGAGGACAGCACACCTTTGGCCTTATTATTTAAAAACAGACTGATAGAAAATAATAAAGTGTTTAAAGGAAATTAAGAAAATATCTTCAGGGCCTTGGAGTAGGCCAAGATTTCTTAATAGGCACAAAAGGCATTAACCATAAAAAAAAAAAAAAAAAAAAGGATAAAGTAGGCTAAATTAAAATTGAGAACATCTGTACATTAAAAGAAATCATTAAGGAAAAGACAATCGATAGAAAGGGGGACAATATTTGTAGCACATAAGATCGGACAAGGAACTCATATCCAGACCGTGGACAAACCCATACATCATTATGGAAAGGATGAGCAGCACCACAATAGAAAAGCAGACACAACAAACAGCCAGGCACAGTGGCTCACGCCCAGAGTCCCAGCACTTTGGGAGGTCCAGGTGGGCAGATCACCTGAGGTTGGGAGTTTGAGACCAACCCGACCAACATGGTGAAGCCCCATCTCTACTGAAAACACAAAAATTAGCCAGGCATGGTGGCGGGAGCCTGTAATCCCAGCTACTTGGGAGGCTGAGGCAGGAGAATCACTCGAACCCGGGAGGCAGAGGTTGCAGTGAGACAGGATCGTGTCATTGCACTCCAGCCTGGGCAACAAGAGTGAAACTCAGTCTCAAAAAAAAAAAGAAAAAACAAAAACCCCAAACGCAATGAGATACCACTACACCCAAAATGGCTAAGAAGAAGAAGGCAAAAAATAAGTGTTGGTGAGGATGTGGAGCAATTAGAACCCTTACACACTGCTGGGGAGGTTATAAAAACTGCTATGACCATGAAGAAAAATGGAAAAATCCTAATCTCTGGGCATCAGCCGACATATATTTGCCAAAAGACCAGTATTAGATGTTTATATAAGCACTCTTGGTAAAAGCCTCAGAGTGGAAAGGAGTCAAAGGCTCGTCAACAATGGAATGACTTTGGAATGCAGTATATTCACACAATAAAAACCTCTCACAGCAACAAAAATGAATCATCTACAACTAAGATAACACGATGGACGAGTCCTGTGAACATAATGAGTGAAAGAAGTCAGAAACGAAGGAATCCACACCATACGGTTCCATTTATATCAAGTTCAAAGACAACTGTAACTAATCTATGGTGCTGGAAGCTGGGACAGCAGTTCCCTTTGGTGGGGGGCAGTGATGGGAGGGAGCTGGGGGCTGCTGGTGAAAATCAGTTTGTTGGACTGGCTGCTACTTACCTGGGTGTGTTCAGTTTGTGAAATGGAGGCAGTTACACACTTATGTGTATTTTTATATGTATATTTTATTTTAATTTTAAAAAAACACCCAGCCGGGCGCGGTGGCTCCCGCCTGTAATCCCAGCACTTTGGGGGGCCGAGGCGGCCGGATCACGAGGTCAGGAGATGGAGACCATCCTGGCTAACACGGTGAAACCCCGTCTCTACTCAAAATACAAAAAATTAGCCGGGGGTGGTGGCAGCACCTGTAGTCCCAGCTACTCAGGAGGTTGAGGCAGGAGAATGGCATGAGCCCGGGAGGCAGAGCTTGCAGTGAGCCGAGATGGCGCCACTCACTCCAGCCTGGGGGATAAAGCGAGACTCTGTCTCAAAAACAAACAAACAAACAAAAACCAAAAACAAACAAACAAACAAAAAAACACCCAAGTTTTTTTTTAGCATCTAGCATGGCTTGTGAGAACAAAAACCAAACTACCAAGCTCTCAGAATGATGACAGTTTAACCCCAAATAACTTTTTCTCTCATATCCCACATTTTTCACTTGCTTACCTGTAAAAACTTATTTAACTGATTCTTCGACTTCTCCATAAACTTTTGATCTATAGATTTGAAAGGCAGCTTGCTAAGAGAAGGCAACTGGACTTTTCTTAAAGAAGGGACGCACTGTGGGGGGAAAAATGAAATGTTAGTATTTTGAAATTACATTTTAATCTTAAAAAAAGATTGAGAATAATAATAATTAGAATAAAACAAATCTCCTCCTCCTGTACTTGTTCCTCTGAGGTGAAAACCTACCCATTTTAATCAGGCTTGAAGAATTGGGAGGAACGGAAACTGATGGAAAAAGCTAAAGCACATCCTCAAACCTACAGATCCCTGGGAGCTGGTACGAGGCCAGGCTGGTACGAGGGACCTGCACACCATGCAGAGCAGCACATGATGTGACAAATGGAAACCTGGCTCACAGAAAGTTTTTCAACTAGAAGGTGTTGTGTTTATAACATCTCCGTAAAAAGCTAAAGTTAACAAAAGAAAACAACGGGAACAAAGAAAACTTGGGTTGTAGCTCTATTACTGCATTTCTTTTGTTTTGTTTTTTTTTTTTTGAGACAGGATCTCACTCTGTCACCCAGGCTGAGTGTAGTGGCATGATCATGGCTCATGGCAGCCTTGATCTCCCCGGCTCAAGCCATTCTCCCACCTTGGCCTCCCAAGTAGCTGGGACTACAGGCACACACCACCATGCCTGGCTAATTTTTAAATTTTTGGTAGAGGCAAGGTCTATGTTGTCCAGGCCAGTCTCAAATTCCTGGATACAAGCGATCCTCCTGCCTCGGCCTCCCAAAGTGCTGGTATTACAGGCGTGAGCCACCACTCCCAGCCTTATTACTGCCTCTCAGTGGCAAACTGTAGATTGTAAGTATATTAACAAAATATATTCATAGTACGAAGAGAGCACTTTAAGTCCTCCCTTCTACTAGACACTGTGCTGGAAGCATGGCATGTGTTATTTCATCCTTACAACAACTCTGTGAAATTTTAGAGAAATGAAACAGGCAGTGAGAGCTGGAAGGGAAGACTAGAATCACAAAGTACCCAAAAAGGTGCTTCCTGTCACAGCTGTCGACAGGAAGCGTTCTCACAACAGGAAAACTCACACCGTAGGAAAGGGCCGGGGTAAGAGAAGAGCCCAGCCATCAGTCCACAGATGAGGAAAGAGGGCACAGGACAGGCATGGACTTCCATGTTTGTTTCTTTTAATGCTTCCATGTAATTGTTTTGATTGTCTAAGTAAATTTTACTTTCCGAAGACATTTCAAAATTTTTCCTCAACTCTTTTTCCTCCTGCTTTGATACTAAACTTTGGTTTCACAATAGTTTTTCACAGAGAAAACAACACATTTTTTCTGTAGTATCAATTTTACTCAACAACTGTGGGGAAAATTCATTGTTATACTGAGACAAATTTTTGCTTTCCACACTGCGAAGGTGACCAAAGATCATCTGAGAAATGTAGCATGCATGACATTCAGTTTTGGTCACTGTCCTTAAAAAGCAGTTGAAGAAATTATAGTGTGTAGTGATGAAAACAGGTTAAAAAATCACTCTGGGGACAAGGTTAAAGAAAAGAGACACATTTCATTCACAGAAGAGGAGTCTGAGAGGTCTCGTGAGGTTTTGTAAAGGAGCAGCGTGGCTTCAAACCGCGTTTTAAAACTTTGTTTTCCTTCCTCCTTTCTCCTTAATCTCAAGATGTAACTTTGAGACAGGCTGCGTATGTGTCTCCTTTCATTTTGAAGTGCAGCCTGGGAATGTGCTGTGAACCTCCACTCCCTTTCTTTCCCCATCCCATGCTTCCATGCTTTATGCACACTGATTTACCCACATGCTTGTTAAGCACACACCACGCTCCTTATCTGGTCATCTCTTTCCTTAGAAGCTTCAAGGGCCAGATCCTGATACGGACCAGACACCTCCAGCCACAGTGGCGCCGGCTGCTTCACTGGATGGAACAACAATTCAAGACGAGCCATCAGGGCAGGTCACGCCACCTGACAACTCCTAGTCCCACTGCCTCTTCTGCATTCCAAACCCTCTCTTTAAAATCCCCTGGGTTCCCTCCACAATTGAAGGGTGGAAATTTTTATTTTTATTTTTGAGATGGAATCTCACTCTGTCGCCAAGGCTGGAGTGGAGTGGTATGATCTTGACTCACTGTAACCTCCGCCTCCCACGTTCAAGTGATTCTTTCGCCTCAGCCTCTTGAGAAACCGAGACTACAAGTGTGCACCACCACACCCAACTAATTTTTTGTATTTTTAGTAGAGATGGGGATTTCACCATGTTGGCCTGGCTGGTCTTGAACTCCTGACCTCAAGGGATCCGCCCACATCAGCCTCCCAAAGTGCTGGGATTACAGGCGTGAGCCAACATGCCTGGCTGAGGGTGGAAAGTTTTAGTAAGAATTCTGCCCACTCCTTCCCTTGCTAGCATGGATAATAAAATCTCACTCTCTTTTTGTCACACCTCACTCTTGTTATTATGATGATGGCTTCTTTCTACAAGCAGCGAGCAGCTGGACCCTGTGACAGTTACAGTTTGACCAGTATCAGTTCACGCTGAGGAAGAGAAAAATGGACCTAAATTCAAGTAGAAATAATTGAAGAACTGTTCACTGCTGGGGAAGAAAGGCAATGACCCGTAGCAGAAGGAGAATTAGAGAAGACAGCAATTCCTGAGGACAAGTAGGAAGAATAATCTAAAAGTAAGATTCTATTAATAATCTTGATTTAGCCATTATGTACATGTCCTATGACAAGTCAGTTAAGCTCTGGGATCAGTTTCCCTCATCTCTCAAATAAATTAACCTAGATTAGTGGCTTTCAGACATTTTACATTGCAATCCAAAATGCACGTACATATACACATATACATAAATAAAAGCGAAACCAAAGGTCTATGAAGCAGCGCTATTACTACTGCGGCTACTACCAAAAAACACAATGATTTTTACCATGTGCCACACATCTTCTAAATGCTTTACATACACATATTCCCTTAATTCTCACAACAACCCCATAAGGTAGGCACTGTTAGTATTCGTTTTCACTGATAAGGAAAAAGAGATAAAAAGCAAGTGAGTGATAAATCCCAGGTCAGGCGGAGCACCATGGCTCACACCTATAATCCCAGCACTTTGGAAGGCCGAGGTGGGTGGATCACCTGAGGTCAGGAGTTCGAGACCAGCCTGGCCAACATGGTGAAACCCCGTCTCTACTAAAAATACAAAAAATTAGCTGGGCATGGTGGCGCATGCCTGTAACTCCAGCTACTCGGGAGGCTGAGGCAGGAGAATCGCTTGAACCTGGGAGGCGGAGGTTGCAGTGAACTGAGATCGTGCCATTGGATTCCAGCCTGGGTGACAGAGCAAGACTCCGTCTCAAAAAATATATATATATATATATATAAATAAAAGAATAAGTAAATAAATAAATCCCAGGTCACACAGCCATGAAGAGTAGAGCCGAGATTCAGAGCTGAGCAGTCTGGTTCTAGAGGCTGTGCTCCAAGCACTGCACCTTACTGCCTCCCTTGTATATGTGAGAGAATCCAGTGCAGTTCGTTCTTTCTACTGCTGCAACTTGTAAATGATGTTGCTACCATCAATGAATCACAATCGGCCACTGCCAGGTGTGAGAGACGTAGATGATGCTCAGGTCTCTTCCAGCTCTAGGGTTCTCCGGCGATTTACAATGAAAATCAGACAATTATCTGTCCTGATGGAATTAGGCTAGACTAGATGGTTTCATCTATGAGTAAATTTCCAAATGTCAGGATGAAAATGCCACTGTGCCAGTATCAACAGCAAAGGACGAAGATTAATCAGTTTTCTTATGTGTAAAAATTGAAACGAGCTCTTGTGCAATAATTCTAGAATCTTGCAGTCATGAGTATTCATACCTCACTGAGTTTCCGGTGTAAATTCTGAAACTCGCTGAGCCTTCTAGGGACTGTCCAGTTCTTAGTTTCAACTCCTCCAACTTCTTGTAGGCTTACCGTGACAAAGTAACACGGCAATTGCTCACCATTCTCTTCTGTAACCTTGGGGAAAACATCAAAATCGATACTTAACAAAAAGCATGTTGAACGGATGCAGCAGGAAGATTTGTAAGTGTCCTCCTAAGGAGATTTCCCTCCTCATGGTGTACCCTGCAGGATCCCTGGAACTGTGAATATTACAGATTTTATTCTAGCGAGTAAGTTACATTATATGGCATAGTAGACCTTAAAATAGGGGGATTTCCTAGGTGGGCCTAACCTAAAAGCAAAGAGTTTTTGCTAGCCAGTAATACGAAAGGAAGTCAGAAAGATTCAAATTCCAAGAAGGAAGCCAGCAAGAGAACAGAGATCTCAGTTCTATGACCAAAAGGAACTCAATTCTGCCAACAATCTGAATAAGCTTGGAAGTGGGTTTTACTGAGTCTTCAGACAAGACCTTAGTCTGGGAAACATACTGACTTCAGCCTGTGATCCAGCCGGCAGGGAACCAAGGTATCCTGAGCTGGACTCCAGACCGACAGAGGTGTGACCAATAAATGGGTGTTGCTTTAAGCATGAAATGTGTTACACAGCAAAAGAAAACTAATACAGCAGGCTCATCCTGTGTTACTTTGAAAATAAATTAATAGCAAGCAAACAGGCATCAAATACATCAGAACCTCTCTCAGAGAAGGATGAGGGCACCTCCAGTTTAATTTCAGGATCCAACAAGCCCTGATTTCTATTCTTACTAAATTTTACACTGGGAGATAAAATTTCCTTTACCTCCCAACTGAGATATTGTGTGTGTCTGTGTGTGTGTGAGCACGCGCGCACACACACACACACACAAAATAATCCAGAATAGGCCACTACTATACTTAACATAAGAAGATAAAAGAAAAAAATGTAAAATGCATTGAATTTGAGCTTGAATTAGCATCATAAATTGAATTAGAGTCAGTAAGAAAGGCGAGGGAAAGAGATGAGAGGTTTACTGAGCACCCACTCTGTGAGGCAGGATTATCACCCCACTGTAAGGATAGGGAAGGAGAGGTACAGACAGGGTACCTGACTTTCCTAAGACCACACTTCTGATGAGTCAGCTAGCACAGAATACAGGCATGTCTGGCTTGATGAAAATGCATCTTCCACACCTTCCTGGGACTGCTTTGTGAGCTCCAGACGTCAGGTGCCCCTTTCCCATTTCCACTATCTTTCCCCCGGCCAGAGTACCTCAGCAAGCTCCTTAGCAGCAACTGACTGCCAGGGCACAGAGCCCTGTGATGGTTTCCATTCCTTCCTTCCCTTTCTGCCTCCCCTAATATTTGCCTTTGGAAGATGATTTTAATACGCTGTGAAGCGTCAGGGCCAGCTCTAAGCAAAACTGAGAAGATAACAGAATTTGTATTCTGTCCTCCAGCAGCCTCTTGTAGCCATTACATTCCCCTGAGCCCATTACCTTCCCACACTTCCACCCAAACAATAACTACCTGCAGTTACTGAGGGTTTCTATGTGGGAGTCCGAGGTTGGGCATGACCTTCCCTGATCCACTGCTCCCTGCCTTCCATGGAGAAATGTGTATTGTTCAACAGCTTAGCTTAATGGGAGCACCAGCAAGTGCCAAGGACATGCAGAAGGCACCTGGTTAGGCTCTCATGTACTGTGTGTCCTTTCAGGGTAGGTCTTGGAGAACATGCTTTGTTTTGCTATCCAACCTAGAGATAAATTTAAGGTTGTGAATTGACCCTCTCCCAACCCCTGTAAGAGTGTCAAGCCAGTGGCTTGATGGAAAGGCAGGGAAGAACAAAGATAAGTCATATGAAATACCATTGAGGACAAAAAAAGCACTCTCTTGCTCAGGACCTTGATATTTGCATATAATGTGGTTATGCAAACGACCACATTATATGACTTTCATCTCCAGGTTTCTACTTGACAGACAGTAGGGCAGGGGAGAAGGAAGTTGTCAACAGTAATGACGTAAACTCCTATAAGCATCTTTCCTCCTAAATGAAATTATTTTTATAGACAAATGAAAAAGGATACAGTATATTCTACAAACTCTTATCTCATATCCCTCAAAAAAAAAACAGCAAAACAATTCAAAAAATATATTCATTGAAGATTTTAGAGATACTGAAATTTAAGCAATTGAAGTCAGTAGGATGAAACAATCAGATGCACTTACATTTTTAGTTTTTCATCTCCAAGATTCATTTCAACCCTCAATGGAAAAATAAACGGCTAATTCAAGGACATTAAAGTTGCTTTCAATTCCAGTGAACAGGAAAAACGTGCTGTTTGAAGTGGAGTGAGATCAGATCTACACCACGCAGCCTTGTATAGTTTCCAGTCATGAGCGAACCAGAGTGAAAATTATGGGGGAAGGAAGGTAGGACAAATATGGTCTAAAAGAATGAGCATAAGTCTTCTACCCTCAATATTCATTCTTCAGGATAAAATCTTTTTTAATAAAGTCAAACTTTTAAAATAAATTAAGAGGAAAAGCAGTCAAACCTACCTCTCCACTGGTGATGGAGGCTTTCCACATGCCAAGGTTTTCACACCACCAATCCGTTCTTGCCATGTGCAGCTGAAGGTCTGTGCGTTCTTTCTCTATTAGGATTATTTCATCCCTCAACTTGGAAACAATCTGCCACAGGGAAAATATCCTGGGAGTTATGAAAACACTTAAAACTACGCAATTCGGCAAAGTAGCAGGATTCAAAGTTGACACACAATAATCAGCTGTGTTTCAATACACTAACAGTGAATAATCCAAAAACAAAATTAGGAAAAAAATTCCACTTACAATAGCATTAAGAAAAATTCTTAGGAATTAATGTAAACAAGGAGGTGAAATAATTCTACAATGAAAACTATAAAACACTGATGAAAGAAACTAAAGAAAACAAATATCTGTAAAGGCATCCCATGTTCATGGATTGGAAGAATTAATATTGCTGTCAGTACTACCCCAAGCAATCTACAGGTTCAATGCAATCCCCAACAAAATTTCAATAACAGTTTTTTGCAGAAATAAAAAAAAAAACTCATCCCAAAATCCATATAAAATCTCAAGAGACCCCAAATAGCCAAAACAATTTTGAAAGAGAACGAAGTTGGAGGACTCAATACTTCTTGACTTCAAAACTTACTACAAAGCTACAATAATCAAAACAGTGTGGTACTGGCATAAAGACAAATATATAGACCCAGGGAATATAGCCCAGAAATAATATATGGTCAAGTGATTTTCAACAAGGGTGTCAAGACCATTCAATGGGGGAAAGAACAGTCTTTTCAACAAATCATGCTGGGAAGATTGGATATTCACATGCAAAAGAAAGAAGCTGGACCCTTGCCACCTAACCCTATATACAACAATTAACTCAAAGTAGATTAAAGATCTAAACAAAAGAGCTAAAAATCATAAAATGCATAAAAGAGAATATAGGTGGCCGGGCACAGGGCACAGTGGCTCACACCTGTAATACTAGCACTTTGGGAGGTTGAGGCGGGTGGATCACCTGAGGTAAGGAGTTGGAGACCAGCCTGGCCAACATGACAAAACCCTGTCTCTACTAAAAATACAAAAATTAGCCAGGTTGGTAGGGGGGTACCTATAATCCCAGCTACTCAGGAGGCTAAGGCAGGAGAATTGCTTGAACCTGGGGGTTGGAGGTTGCAGGGAGCTGAGATTGTGCTGCTTCACTCCAGCCTGGAGTGAAGACAGAGCGAGACTCCATCTCAAACAAAACCAAACCAAACCAAACAAAAACAAAAACAGAATATAGGGGAAAAGCTTCATCACATTGGCTTTGGCTATGATTTACTAGTTATGACACTTTAAAAGCACAGGCAACAAAAGAAGAAATAGACAAACTGGAATTCATCAAAATTTAAAACTGTGCATCAAAGAACACTACTGATATAGTAAAAATGCAAACCACAAAATATAAGAAAATATTTGCAAATCACCTCTCTGACAGAGTTTCCATCTCCAGAATATAGAAAACTCCTAAACCTCAACAAAACCACAAACAACCCAATTTAAAAACGCACAAAGGATTTGAACAGACATTTTCCAGAGACACAAATGGCCAACAGAAATGCAAATCAGAATCAAAATAAGATGCCACCTGATAACCATTAGGATGACTACTATAAAATAAGAAAATAACGAGTGTTGGCAGGGAGGACATGGAGAGATCAGAACCCTTGTGCACTGGTAGTGGGAATGTAAAATGGTATAGATGTTGTGGTAGAGAGTTTAACGATTCCTCAAAAAATTAAAAACAGAATTAGCATAGAACCCAGCAATTCTACGTCTGGGTATATACCAAAAGAACTGGAAGCAAGATCTTTTTAAGAGGTATTTGTATAACCACATTCACTGTAACATTACTAACAATAGCCAAGAAGTGGAAGTAAACCAAATGTCTATTGCTGGATAGTTAGTAAAACAAAATGTGGTATAAACATACAATGAAATATGATTCAGCCTTAAAAAGCAATGAAATTCTAACACACACTACCACATGGATGAAGCCTGAAGACATTACTCTAAGTGAAAAACGCCAGTCACAGAAGGACAAATGTTGCGTGATTCCACTAACATCAGGTAGTTGGAGGAGCTAAATTCATAGAGATAAAAAATAGAATGATGATTTTTCCAGAGCAGGAGGGAGGGAAAAATGGGGAACCATTGTTTCATAGATACAAAATTTCAGTTTTTCATGATGAGAAAAGTTCTGGTGATGGTTGCAAAATACTAAAAAGCTTCTGCACAGAAAAATAATTAGCAGAAATAACAGACAACCCACAGAGTGGGAAAAAAATCTTCACAATCTATACATCCAACAAAGGACTAATATCCAGAATCTACAAAAAACTCAAACGAATTCGCAAGAAAAAAAACAAACAATCCCATCAAAAAGTGAGCTAAGTACACAAATAGACAATTCTGAAAAGAAGATGTACAAACGGCCAACAAGCATATAAAAAAAATGCTCAACATCAGGAATTATCAGGGCAATGCAAATCAAAACCACAATGTGATACCACCTTACTCCTGCAAGCATGTCCATAATAAAAAAAAAAAAAATACAACAATAGTAGATGTTGGTAAAAACGGAACATTTTTACACGGTTGGTGGGAATGTAAACTAGTACAACCACTATGGAAAACAGTATGGAGATTCCTTAAAGAATTAAAAGTACATCTACTGTTTGATCCAGCAATCCCACTACTAGGCATCTACTCAGAGGAAAAGAAGTCATTATACAAAAAAGATACTTGCACAGGCATGTTTATAGCATCACAATTTGCAATTTCAAAAATATGGAACCAGCCCAAATGCCCATCAATCAACAAGTGGATAAAGAAAATGTGATCTGTATGGAGCATAGAATACTACTCAGCCATAAAAAGAAACGAAATAATGGCCTTCACAGCAACCTGGATGGACTTGGAGACTATTATTCCAAGTGGAGTAACTCAGGAATGGAAAACCAAGTATCACATGTTCTCACTCATAAGTGGAAGCTAAGCTATGAGGAGGCAAAAGCATGACGATGATACATTGGACTTTGGGGATTTTGGAGAGGGTTGGAGCGGGGATGAGGGATAAAAGATTACAACTGAGTACAGTGTACACTGCTTAGGTGATGGGTGCAACAAAAATCTCAGAAAGCACCACTAAAGAATTTATTCATGTAACCAAATACCACCAGCTCCCTAAAAAGTACTGAAATAAAAAATAAAATTTTAAAAATAGCTAAAATGGTAAATGTTATATATATTTTACCAGAATTTACAAAAATAATTAATATTTTTTAAATGCCACATTCACCATCTCTTCAGATCTCTTTTATGAGAAAGCCTACAAAGTTATAGAACTCTGTAGTTTGCGGACAGCAGCTTTGCTCCAAAACTCTCCTGAATCTGCAGTGTTCAAGGGCCCTCTCCTTCCTCAGAAAGCCTACAGGAAGCACTCCTTGCCTATGCCACTGTCCTGTGTTTTATCATCAATAAGTACTGTGATCATTTTATTTTCATGTCTGTTTTAATTCCATAACCAGCATATTTGCTCCTTGAGGGCAGGCGTCAGACTCTATGTTACACTGAATGTTCAGTGACTAGCACAGCACCATGCATTTACTCATCACTTGTGTTACTGAGATTCTTCATGGTTAATGGTTTACTCCCAGCATTACCCTAGAATTGGACAGTTTGCTCCAGACTCACAAAATCTCTGTAAAGGAAAAAAACAAAAAAACCGGCCGGGTGTGGTGGTTCACGCCTGTAATCCCAGCACTTGGGGAGGCCGAGGCGGGTGGATCACGAGGTCAGGAGATCGAGACCATCCTGACTAACATGGTGAAACCCCGTTTCTACTAAAAATACAAAACAAAATTAGCCGGGCACGGTGGCGGGCGCCTGTAGTCCCAGCTACTCGGGAGGCTGAGGCAGAGGCAGGAGAATGGCAGGAACCCGGGAGGCGGAGCTTACAGTGAGCTGAGATTGCGCCACCGCACTCCAGCCTGGGGGACAGGGCGAGACTCTGTCTCAACAACAACAACAACAACAACAACAACAAACAAAACAAAAAAACCTAGGCAGTAAATTTCAGGAATCAAACTAAAAGGCTAGCTTTACCATCTGGCGGCTAATTACACTGCTGGTACAGAGGTCTGTGAGAAGGAGGGTTAAGCAAACCACTGGCATTCTGTATTGAGGAGAAGTCTGCACCACTGGGTACTCACAGGAAAATGATCTGATTAATAATTAGATATTTAATCCAGAAAAGTCTTACTATTACAAGATATTGGGGGTGGAGTGTGTTAATTGCTAGATTGCCAAAACCGTTTTCAACATTAATCTTAGGGTTTTTTTTTTTTTTTTTGAGACTGAGTTTCACTCTGTTGCCCAGTCTGGAGTGCAATGGCGTGATCTCGGCTCATTGCCACCTCCACCTCCCAGGTTCAAGCGATTCTAGTGTCTCAGCCACCCGAGTAGCTGGGATTACAGGTGCCCGCCACCATGACTGGCTAATTATTGTAGTTTTAGTAGAGGGGGGGTTTCACCACGTTGGCCAGGCTGGTCTCAAACTTCTGACCTCAGGTGATCTGCCTGCCTTGGCCTCCCAAAGTGCTGAGATTACAGGCATGAGCCACCACGCCTGGCCAATCTTAAGTTTTTTAAAAAATTAATTATTAATTTTTTTACCAACACGAGTAAAACACAAAAGGAGGACTATGTCTCCTTCTGCAGAGAAGGATCAGCTGCCTTCCATCCTCAGGGCCCTTTCTGTCCCGTGCGCAACTGCCAGAAGCAGAGTGTGCTCCGTGAGCAGCCCGTGGACACTCTGATCACATAGCAAACGTAGATCAGAGAGCAGAGTTCAAATTAAGCCACAGTACCAGTGAATTGCTCCACGTTTCCTGAAAATTCTTTCATATAATATATATGAAATATAATATAGCTAAGAATGTTTATTCCATGGTTATCAAAAGTTATTTTAAGAAGGGCTGAAGAATGTCTTTCAAACAAACAAACCAAGCAGAAAATAATTCAATGAACATTCTCTAGCTCGTCTTTCATACTGTTATCCATAGATGCATTTTAATTTGTAATGAGATGAATCCAGAATAAATAAGACAGCTGTTCTTAAAGAACATGCCACATTGCAGATACTGATTATCTGCCATGCCAGCAAATTCTGTGGATCATCTCAGACATGTTCTTGTCACTGGGAAGACGATCAGGCTTTTGAGTTCTGTATGTAGTAACTGGGAATGACTCCCTGTAAGGGGGAGAATGAACTATTTCTTATGACAATCCAGGAAACCTGGCCATTTGTTTCAGTTTCAGAGTACGATTAATATTGACTGACTGATTGATTGATGGAGTCTTGCTGTGTTGTCCAGGCTGGTGTGCAGTGGCATGATCTTGGCTGACTGCAACTTCTGTCTCCCGGGTTCAAGAGATTCTCCTGCCTCAGCCTCCTGCGTAGCTGGGATTACAGGCACCTGCCACCACGCAGGGCTAATTTTTGTATTTTTAGTAGAGACGGGGTTTCACGATGTTGTGAAGCCTCCTAAGGTGCTGGGATTACAGGCGTGAGTCACTGCGCCTGGCCACGGGTTTTTTTTGTTGTTGTTGTGGTTGTTGTTGTTGTTGAGACTATTGCCCAGTCTGGAGTGCAGTAACGTGATCACGGCTCAGTGCAGCCTTGACTTTCCAGACTCGAGAGATCCTCCTGTCTCAGCCTGCCTAGAGCTGGGGACTAGAGGCATGCACTACCATGCTGGGCTAATTTTCTTTTTTAATTTTTACTAGAAATGGAGTCTCCCTATGTTGCCCGGGCTGGTCTCAAACTCCTGGGCTCAAGCGATCCATCTATCTCAGCTTCGCAAAGGGCTGAGATTACAGGCATGGGCCATTGTGCAGCCAGCCCATCACCAATGATGATGAACGTGACACTCCCATTAAACTTCCTCCTACATAATTTTGTAAAAATATTACTACTAACCAAGATGACACACCTTTGCAGGTCTTTCTTCCTTCTCTTTTGCTTTTTCTTTGTTGAAGAAAACTCACTGTTTAACTAGACAGTAACTGGATTATAGATGAATAGATATTTTAATTGTAAATTGCTGACAGGCTCATGATACCAGTTTTTCTTACATCTTGTCTCAGGAACATTCTCCTACTACAAAAGCATTTGAATGTCTACAAAAAGAGTACTAAAGAAGGCTCAATAGGATTGGGCACATGCTCACAGAAAACCCACTGTGACTCACTGAAATTGTTTTATTTTAAGTTGCTCTCATGTTGACCACTTGAAATCCTCAAACACACATTCAGAAAGTGCCAGAGACCAATCTGGCAGACCAAAGTGCATCAGCCATATCTATATTAGAGAAACCTCCTTGTTTAATTCTAAGGAGCAAAACACAGCAAAAAAGCCACACCACAGCTTGGGTTTGAGAAAGGTCAATTAGTGAGATGCTGTACATTTTTAAACTTTCAAATTGTTGTTTTCTAGCAAAACAATTTATTTCCTGTACAATACTGTAAAGTTCCCTAAATTGCACTTGCAGCAGTTAAAAGAAAACTTTTTTTTTTTCAAAATATTGTCCTCGAATATTTAATTAACTTCCAGAAATGACCCTGGCACAAGAGAAAGCTTAGCCTGTTCCCCAAAGGCCCTGTAGGCAAAGCAGATGCAAAGAACAGAGTTACTCACAGCTGAAACTGAGAAAGAACTCCAAACCATAAGAGATTAAAAACAAATGCTTTCTAGTTCTATCCTAGAAGCAAAAAAATAACAATGGAACTTGCTCATGGTTAAAATTATTTTAAAAGAAACGGACACTTCTCAACCTCAACTGAAAACTACCAAATTAGACAAATGTAAACTTTCAAAGACAACCTTGAAAGCAAAGAGTTACCTTCTTGTCAGGTTTTGGTGCATTTTGAATAGAATTTAGAGCTTGCCTTTTATATTCAAGTTTCTCATTTAGTTCTCGCAGTTTGTTTACAGCAAAACTGGCTTGTTCATTGATCCGATTGGTACTGTCATCCGCGGCTTCCTCACCAGCCTCATCTCTTGGGCCCTGGAGGGGAGAGTCACATACCACCATATCTTATAATGATAGAAAATTCAGTAATTATTATCTGTCACGATACCCTGTTGCAAAATACTACATTTCAGGAAGGAAAGAATACCAAAGTAGAAAACTCAGACTGCTTTTTCTGAGCAAAGAGAAAAATCAAAGTCTTTGGAACCAAAGTAAATGGTGTTCAGAATTGCAAAAAGGAAACATTTTATAGCCTAAAAAAAGCGGGGGGAAGTCCCATGCCATTATTTCCCAAGTGGTACGTCTAAGGAAATCTGCATAGAACAAGGGACGGCAACTCAGTTTTCTTCCCAACTCGACCTGATATTCTGTACTTGATCTTCAACCAACACGCTGACTTTTGGCTTCTTTCCAGTCTCCTAAGTATATTATTAAAAACTCATGCAATAAAAGAAAATTACCATATTCCCATGAGTGAAAGTATTTTCGGTATATACTTTGTTCAGTCCTTCTCTTGATATATTCTACAAATCAATAGGTATATTATTTTACAAGTAAAATAGCATTTGAAAGTGACTTAATAGTCATAAGAACTCTGTAACTTGGAAACGTCTGGCTAGATTACCCAACAACACAGGAATTAGATTCATGAGCAGCAACAGAATGCAGGGCACTGCAGAGAACTGCTGAGATCCAGCTTCCAGTTTATCCTTAACTTTCTTCCAGGTTTTCTTGTTCTAACTTTTAGTAATCGTAACAAACAGTAAATTAAAATTTTTCAAGGAAGAATAAGGTACCAATGGTCATAGAAAAATAGGCTGTTTGCATGTGTGTGTGTGTTTTTTTTTTTTTTTTTGAGACAGAGTCTTACTCTGTTGCTCAGACTGGAGTGCAGTGACGTGATCTCAGCTCACTGCAACCTCTGCCTCCCGGGTCCAAGCCATTCTCCTGCCTCAGCCTCCCGAGTAGCTGGTACTACAGGTGCTCACCACTATGTCCAGCTAATTTTTGTATTTTTAGTAGAGACAGGGTTTCACCACGTTGGCCAGGCTGGTCTTGAACTCCTGACCTCAAGTGATCCACCTGCCTCAGCCTACCAAAGTGCTGGAATTACAGATGTGAGCCACTGCACCCAGCCCGTATGTTCTTTTAACTGGTTGTCTATAAATATATATATAAATGATACATAATTTCATACTTTGTATTCATTTGAATGGGTATTCTGCCTTCTTTACATAACACACAATGCTGGGTATCATCTTCAAAATTATCATTTTTAAGTCAGCCTTGTATGAGAATAATTAGAATAACAACGGCATTGAGAATTTATGAGGCACATTCCTAACGATGCTCCTGTTATGGGTTGATTCTGCTTTATTGCTGTCCCAGATGTACAAAAACAAACGCGTAAACTTTTTTCTCCATTTTAATTATTTTCCTAGGATAAATATCCTAAAGTTCCCACTTCTAGAGATTACTGGAACAAAGAGTTGGAGTTCTCGAAAGGTCAGTTATGTATCAGCCCTCTTTGAATCCTAGGTGAAAGCAGACACTTTTTCCTATTTGTTTACTGTCACCTCACATCAAATGTCAGTTCACGTCCTTGTTCAATGTATCTGCTGAGCATAAATGTTTTAATTACGTTGAATAACCTCTTTTACAGCATTTGCTGTAAAATTAACCATCTTAATTTCTGAAGTAGAGAGATAACATAGATACAACGAACTGTGACCTACCAAAAATAAAATGCAATAAATAGTGAATTTTGGACTAATCAGCTCAGTGATTTTACATGTAAAGGACCAAGTAACAAAACTTAAAAGAAAGAATGTATATGAAGTTTAGACAACCAACAGTTCAGAGACCCCAAGATGACTTCTAATACCATCAAGAGCAAGCACTTGAGTCCTCAGGGCTGGAGATAGTGAACTGGGCAGAAAGAAAAAATCCAAGACAAATCATAATCTTTCTATGTAAGATGACTATAAAACAATTTGTTTCTTTTTGCGCAAACCTTAAAACTCATAGGGGTCACTAACAGTAAATAAGAGGTGGCAACTGGAGCTATCCAAAATAATTGCGTACGCTATAAGAAAACTAGACTTAACGTGTGGTTTAGCTGACAGAGTAGGAGCTTTGCCATCTTGGACAAGCACCACCATTTAAAAGTTTCCCTTGACCAAAAACTGCCTAAATCCAAAGGGCATCAGCCTAATGGCTAAGGTCAGCAAGACCATAAACCACAAATGCCATCTCCAACCAGAAACATTCCAACCCTAAGATAAATCCCTCCCTAGAGACATGCCAGCCCTGAGATAACCCTCCAGCCAGAGAGATGTCAGCCCCAAGATGACCTTCCCTCTGACCAGAGACATTCCAACCCTGCAATAAACTTCTTCTCCACACAGAAACATTCCAGGCCTATGATAAGCTCTCTCACCCTAAAAACCAATAACTACTCTTCGTCTGTAAGAGAGAGTGCTCCTGAATGAAATCGGCCAGAAGCCCCTCTCGGGTTTATTCTCCAAAATAAACCTGTCTTTGACTGTTAAGCCACTTTTCATGCTTCTTTCCTTTCTTTAACTCTTACATTTGATACTGAAACCTAGGATGGGTGTTGGGGATAGAGACTCTCTTGCAACTCAGGAAGCAGTGGGCAGCAGCAGCCCGTCCTGCTGGATCCTGAGTCTCTGGCCACCCACCCTGTCTTGTCTCTCACTTCACTTTTTGAGTGATTTGCGTGAGGAGGACAACTAACCCGAAGTGTACTGTGAGCCTCACGCTGGGGCTACTCACAGGTGGGTTCTTAAAACCCTCAGGTCTCAGGAATCCACCTCCAACTGCCCGCAACACGTATTTAGCTCTCTAGTCTTTGTCCCCTCCTCCTCCCTCATCCTCCCTTCTCTCTCTCCCTCTCTCTCTCTGTTTTCCTTGTGCAGCTCCAGTCAAAGAGGCCCTTTGCTGATTCCAACCGGAACATCCAACATCAGACACTAATCCAGCCAACTGGTAAAATCTGCCTTCCCTAGGCTTTCTCACGGTACCCAGGAAAGTCAGGTCTGTCATTCTGATCCTCAGAGGACCAGTGGGACTAAACTAGAAGAAATCTTGGGGACACCCAGTTTCTTCTTAGCTTAACTGTCCGCTTTTGGAAAGAGGACTCTGGGTCTCTGTCTTTTGTCTGGGGATGCCTGGAACAAAAAAACAGATACCCTTAGCCTCTTCTCACTTGTCCACATGGGTGCCAAATAATCCCACATTCCTACGTCCTTCACAACCTCTCCAAACTTGGCTTATAAGAAGCATAAAGCCAAAGCGTTTGGTTTTTCATTGCAACACAGCCTGGCCCCAATATAAATTAGATAATGACAACTGATGGCCCAAAAACGGCACCTTTGACTTTCAAATTCTCAGGGACCTTGACAATTTTATAACCACAAATAGCAAGTGGCAAGTGGTTCTCTACATTCAGGCTTTCTTCTATCTTAGATCCCAACCCTCCCTTGTCTTGACAAGCTTGACAGCTCGCACCCCTCATGAAATCCTTCTTCTTAATGAAAACCCTCCCTGGGTCTCTCCTTCCTCCGAAACTCCTTCCTTGGAAACCCCTTTTGAGCCTGCAGATGGATCTCCTCTGTAGTCTTATTCCCCTGTATCTGCTCCTCGCCTGTTCAAACCTCCACCCCAGTGGCCCCTCCTGCCCCCAAGCCTTCAGTCCCAAATCCTGCTCCTCCTCCTTCTCCACCTCTTACCTGTTCAAAAACTACTCCAACCAGTTAATCTGCCATTCTCCCCCTCCGGGAAGCAGCTGGGGTTGAAGGCACTGCTTGCGTTCACGTCCCTTTCTCCATGTTTGCTTTGTCACAGATCAAACAGCATCTGGGATCTTTATCTGAAAATCCCTCTCATTATCACTGGGAATTCCTACACATAACTCAATTCTTTAATTTAACTTGGCGTGACATTTATATAACTCTAACCTCCACCCTCACCCCGATACGAGCACTCAACTTAATTAAAATGAATATCCAAGCTATGAGTATATTTAAAAGGCCTTTATGTTTTCCTCTTCATAAATCTTGTTTTCCTGGAAAAGGCTTTTTCCCAGTCAACTGAATTACTTTTCTCCACTCTATCTTGCCACTCCTGGTGCATGTATGAAAGACCCTAAAATGACATCTGGTGGCCTGGGGCTCCTTGGGAAAACCAAAAAAGTGCCACAAATCCCGTTCTGGGAAAAAATCTCTGTTTTCCTTATGGAACCCCTGGAATTCGAGGTGAATAAGTACCTTTCGAAATCTGTCTTTGTTTTCCAGCTACACTTGTTTATTAGGCCATGGAAATTGTTTTCCTAGCCTTTGTTCTTAAAGGGCCTCACCCAAAGGCCAATAATCCAATTGGGAAATTAGAAAAAAAAATCTTACAGCTACTGGATCTTCTTCTGCGTGTCTGTGTGGCTATACATGTGTTGTGTGCAATGTCTACTAAAAGAGCTCTAATTAATTGGCCTAATAAAAATCAGGGCTTAAATCAAATATTTTTACAGGAAAAGTAAAAGCTATGCGATCTTTCAGTTCACGAGACTTTACAACTTACTGGCACAGTAAGATCAGAAATGTCTTAAGAACTGTCTGCATACATTTTTGCTTGCATTTATTGATCAAGCGATTTCATAATTATCTCTGCCAAATATTATAAGGTGTCAAAATCTAGCATACAGGCTACAAAATTATAACTCAGCCCAGACGGAATAATCTTTGCTTGTGTAATTTTTTAATAAATGAAACATTAATATTGGTCTAATAAAGTTAGCTACATCTTGAACTATTTAGTGAAATACCCTAACTTCTAATCTTGTGGCTTTAGGCAGTCTAGTCCACAGACATAAAGGAAGTTTGTTTTGGGAAAGGATTGTTACCATCTTTGTTTCAAAGCTAAACTGTAAACTAAGTTAATACACAAAAATAGATAAGGCCTGGGGACATGTGAAATTAGCCATACCCCCTAGCTATGCAAATGATAGTAAAGAAAAGATCATTTATATAAAAAAGTATCTTATATGGTAAATTCTTGTCCTAAAGTAAATTAACTGGTTGTTTAAAGAGAGGGATGTTTACAACAAATCAGAAAGTCGAGGCATGTCAGAGATTCTCTGTGTAAGTTGTGAAAAATTTTATAAAAGGGAATTCATATGTTGTACAATTTAAAAGTGATTAAGCCTCCTGAATGCTTTATAAAATGCTACTATAACTCTTAGCTGTACAACCTGCCTGCTTCACAGCTAGAAAAGGCCCAGGCCACACAGAGTCAAATGCTGGAATAAGTCAGACCTTTTCTGCACTTCCGTCCAGGTCCTCAGTTCTCCACCTAGTACATAATTAAAATCTCAAACTTACCAACAAAAGTAAAGGTTGCTAAAAGTTAACAAGTGTAATATGTATTTAAGACTATTGAAAACACATTTTATATACTTTTGGTCAAAAGATTATAAGGAGGCATAGGAATGCGGATTTTTACCTAGATTAAAAGGTTAAAGAATTGTTTTAAGTTGAATAAAATAAAAAAGAAGGTTTACGCAAGTTTTGGAAGGTTAATTGTGAAGGAAATTCTGTGTGTAAACATATTGGCTAAAGTTGAAGGGGTATCATCCAGTTTTTCTGTAAACTGAGCATTAAAATAAAAGCACAACAGGTTTTTCTTAAAGCACTAACCTGCTCCTTAACAAAAATTATAAAGGGTTAAAAAGGGTCTATAAAAATCTTACCTTATGGTCAAACATTAAAATTGGGTAAATGTGTCTACAAGGTTTATTAAAAATTGAGTTTAACATTAATAGCACACTAATATAAAAGTAAAATTTGGCTTATTTGGTATACAATCATATAGGAAACATTGTCAAATACAAAATGGTGTTCGGCTTTCTTTGGGCTATGTTTGCATAAATAAGTTATTGGTATGTGTTCCAATGTTATGGGAGACTCCGATAATTCTGATATATCTTAATATATGTTATCAGTAGTAATTATAATTGTTATGTTAAAATTACTTTGTGCCACAGAGGTAACAGATTTCCTTGTCCATTGTGTCTTTAACTATGGCTACCCTAAAACTTTTGGTCCTCCATAAACAATTGTTGTCTTGTTTTGGTCCTCTTTAGAAGGTGGTTTTATAATCAGCTATAAGGCTCTAACAGGTGCTCTTAAATGCAGGTTTCTGATAACTCTGGATATTGTGACATCAGAATAGAAGAAAAATGTTCAGGACTCTTGAATAGCTAAAGTGTTCATTAATGTCAAGCAGGACAGGAATTAACTGCATGAACGGAACTAACAGGGGACTGGCGTGATCCTTCTGATGTTTTGCTTAAAATATTGCTAATCCTTTGTTTTACTTTTCAAAGTCAAAGTAACTTTTCTTTTGAGCTACTGACAGCTTTTAGCAATATAGTATACCCCCATGAACAAAATTTGAAGCATACTTGTTTCTCTCACCTGATTTTCTCTAGAATTTGGAAACGATCTCTGAGTATTCTTAAGTTATGGCAATATAGTTATTTGCATAAGTGCAATAAGAATTTGTTTTCTTTTGTAACAGGACACAGTTGGAAAAAGTGGTTTTACCAAGGCTTTGACTGGAATGGTATGCTTTCCTTTAAGGAATCAAACTTGACTTATGAAGCCAATAAAGCCCTCAGAAAACTGGCCTCATATACTGTGTACACAGTTCCTGTACAGGGTTTCTGATCTGTGGTAAGTAAAGAAGGTCACTTTCCGACAGGCCAGGAACCCCAAGTTATCCTGGAACCGCAAGAGGAGAAACATCACCCAACTCATAGGTATCTGATGGTAAAAATCCATGACTGGGCTTGGCTTTAAAAAGGTCTTATCTCAGATTCCTTCTACGGAACAAAGTTTCATCAAAGCCAATTTAAAAGTCCTATTTAACAAATAATTCTTCTTACTGTGCTGTATGCAAATAATTAAACCAAGTATAATACAGCAAATCAGTCCTACCATGATGTGTCTTTTTTTTTTTTTTTTTTTTGAGATGCAGTCTCACATTGTCGCTCAGGCTGGAGTGCAGTGGCGCTATCTTGGCTCACTGCAACCTCCGCCTCCCGGGTTCAAGTGATTCTTCTGCCTTAGCCTTCCAAGTAGCTGGGACTACAGGCGCATGCTATCACATCCAGCTATTTTTTTGTATTTTTAGTAGAGACGAGGTTTCACTGTGTTGGCCAGGATGGTCTCAAACTCCTGACCTCATGATCCACCCGCCTCAGTCTCCTAAAGTGCTGGGATTACAGGCGTGAGCCACGACACCCGGCGATTTGTCTTTTACTAACGGTTACTTACAGAAAATTACACATGGACCTTTCCAAACAAGCACCTCTGTCTCTCATTGGGTGAAGAATGTTGTTTCTATCTCAATCAGTTGGGCCTAGTAAGAGACAAACTGCTGAAAAACTTAAAGAAAGGGCTAAAAAGCTAAGGGAATACCAAAATAACCAAATGGATTCTTGGTTTGGAAACAAAATCATAGCATGGGTGATCCCATTCCTGGGCCCTCTCCTAATAATATGCCTAGGACTAATATTCTTACCCTGCCTAATTAACCTTTTTCAAAAAATTTTAAATGACAGGATTATGGCTATTTCACAGATAACTACCCAAAAACATCTACAGATGGCATTACTCCTACAGTCAATTCAAGACCAGAAAACTCTCCGTCCCCTCATCAGCAGGAAGTAGGAAGAAAGAACACGCCACCCCTTGTCCTTTTTATAACTACAGGGTCTGGACTGACAGAGCAGGAGCATTGCCATCTTAGACAAGCACTGCCATTCTAAAGATCCCCTTGATCAAAAACCACCTAAATACAAAGGGCATCAGCCTAACAGTTAAGGTCAGCAAGACCACAAACCACAGATGACATCTCCAACTAGAAACATTCCAACCCTAAGATAAACCCCTCCCCGATCAGAGACATGCCAGCCCCGAGATAACCTTCCCTCCAGCCAGAGAGATGTCAGCCCCAAGATAACGTCCCCTCTGGCCAGAGACATTCCAACCCTGCAATAAACTTCTCCTCCACACAGAAACATTCCAAGCCTGTCATAAGCTCTCTCACCCTAAAACCCTTAAATACTCTTAGTCTGTAAGAGGGAGTGCTTCTGACCAAAAAAATCTGCCAGAAGCCCCTCTCAGGTTTATTCTCCAAAATAAGTCTGTCTTTGACTGTTGAGCTGCTTTTCGTGTTTCTTTCCTCTTTATTTAACTCTTACATTAGCAAGTTTTCTTTTGGAGCATTTTAATTTCTTCTGACTTCTTTAAACTCCAAAATATTTCCTTTAACCCCTCCTGCATTCCCTACCTCTCCTCATTTTTTCCCCATCTCTTCTCTCTTCTAGGGCTATAGTTCTACTGGTTTTCTTAACTGGTCTAACCCATAAATGTCCCACCCTACAGACTTTCTGCCTTCACGTTTCAGGAGTCAGACCAGAGATGTGTCTAAAACAGATAGAGGGCAGGAGGTCTCTGACTCAATGCCAGCAGGAGGGAACATGTAGGTCGGAGGATAAAAGGGCAAGAAGAAATACATACAACCAGAGACAAGGTTATTCATGCTTACTTTTTATTCTATTTAAGGTCTTGTATATTAAAAGATGTTACTTTTATTCTATTTAAGGTCCTGTATATTAAAAGATAAAGATGTGCATCAAATTTGGCTCACACAATATGCACCCACCTAAACATATTTAAAAGCTTATCCAATAAAAAGGAGCAGAAAGTTAAATGTGACTCACCGTCTCATCCTTGTTGGAAATCATCTGTGAGGCATGTTTCTCTTCCTCTTTTATCAACAATTTCTCATACAGGTCACTGACAATAAATGAAGGGTAATACCTATCCTTTAGGATCTCATAAACATCTCCCTGGATTTTGTAGAATACTTCAATACCTTTATTTCCTACAAGACACTGCTGAATTTCTTTGTAAAGTGATTTTTCCACAGATATTTCTTTGCTCTCCACAAAGAAATTCTGATAAATTTCACCAACTAATTGTGGAATTTCATTCTGAAAAGACAGGAAGATAAAGAAAAGTAAGACATATCTCTGAGAAAAATTATTTTTCTCTGAATTCTCTGCATTTGAAAGTCAGAAGAAAGACGCTTAAGATGCACCCTGGTACGTAGAATTTTGTGTCCATATTCAGGATCAAGGGGCAAATGTCAGATCCTTAAAAAAAAAAAAAAAAACTGGTTCTTTAAATGAAGACGTTAAACAGTCAACACCTGCAATTTCTTTTAACCACTGGAGGCGGGAAAAACAGAATAACAGTTCTCTTCCTGTAATAGATTCCTTTTCATAAATCTGAATTCCACAAGAAAAAAATGTGTTAGCTAATATCAATTTAACTTTTTACCTAATATTACCTAATATAAGTAACTAGAAGTGCCATTTCTCATCCCAGAAAGAAGTCAATATAATAACTGTGTAACTCAGAAAAACACTCTTCAGAATGACTACTTCAGAATGATTATGTCCTCGTCAAGCTTATATTAGACAGCTTTGTCTTCAGCAATGAGCCTGGGTCATCACCCGCCTACTTCAGAAATGCAAAACATCTCTTCAGATTAACATAATCTTTATGGTTCCTCTAAAGGCATTGCATTAACTCTAGGAATGTTATGCAGTTTTCGACAACAGTAAAGAGCAAAAGCATACAACTTAATGAACATAACTAATTTAACATACATCCCAGAATGTCCAAATCAATGTTGCTAGATCAAAAAAATAAGGCTATTTCAAGGAAGCTATATGCTTTTATTCCATTGAAAATTTTCAAATTCTCTTCCATAGTTTAGAAAAAACTTTTTAGATTGCTCTTTACAATATTCCTTTGAGAACAACCAGAAGTTATCTGGAGTCAAAACTGGTGATTAAAATGAGTAACAGAGTTAGCAAATACCATATTGGATAAAATTAGGTAATTTGGGGCTTGTAAATTAACAATAAAAGGCATTCCTAAGAAGATTTAAAGACTGGATTTAGTTTCTTAACAAATATAGTTTATGACTTATGATATATTTTAAACTGGCAGTCTCTTCTAGCAACATTCATATGTGAATGAGTAACTCAATGTACAAAATGCTCTTGGTGTTTCCCCCTGCCTTCCCCAAGACCAAATCTTGTTCTGTCGCCCAGGCTGGAGTGATCTTGGCTCACTGCAACCTCTGCTTTCCTAGGTTCAAGCAATTCTCCTGCCTCAGCCTGCCAGGTAGCTGGAATTACAGGTGTGCACCACCATGCCTGACTAATTTTTGTATTTTTAGTAGAGACGGGGTTTCACCATGTTGGCCAGGCTGGTCTTGAACTCCTGACCTTGTGATCTGCCCACCTTGGCCTCCCAAAGTGCTGGGATTACAGGCGTGAGCCAACGCATCCGGCCTCTCCGTACTTATTTTAATAACCCTCTCACAATAGTATACACTGATCACATATGTCACATGTTATAGATATTTTGTGTATATTTATAGACATATACATACATATACAGTTGTACCTTGGGATCTATGGAAGATAGGTTCTAAGATCTCCTGAAGATACCAAAATCCGAGGACATTCAAGTCCCTGATATAAAATGGTGCAGTGTTTTCGCATATAACCATTACATTCTCTCGTATACTTTAAATCCTCTCTAGATTACTTACACCTAATAAAATGTAAGTGCTCCGTAAATGATTATGATTTTGTAGTTTTAGGAAATAATGACAAGGAAAAGGGTCTGTACATATTCAGTACAGATGCAGTTTTTTTCCCCCCAAATATTTTCAGTCCATGGTTGGTTGAGTCTACAGATATAGAACCCACAGATAAGGAAGGCTGACTGTATACATAAAGACTGTGTATACATAATTCTTAAATATACACTGCCAAATGCAAAGCACGATGCTGATTATTGGGATCTTCATTGCAAGATGTATGTGTACCCAAAAATATTTGTATTTTCCTTTATTCATATTTAAATTGAAATAAAAGCTAGATATGGTGGCTCATGCCTGTAATCCCAGTACTTTGGGAGGCCCACACAGACAGATCACCTGAAGTTAGGAGTTTGCGACTAGCCTGGCCAACATGGTAAAACCCTGTCTCTATTAAAAATACAAAAATTAGCTGGGTGTGGTAGCATGTGCCTGTAGTCCCAGCTGCTTGGGAGTGTGAGGGAGGAGAATTGCTTGAATCTGGGAGGTGGAGGTTGCAGTGAGCCGAGATGGCCCCACTGCACTCCACCCTGGGTAAAAGACTGAGACTCCATCTCAAAAAAACAAAAAAACAAAAAAACAAAAAAACAAAAATTGAAATAAAAGGCGAAGTATGAAACATGCACATTATGATATTATAAATGGCAAGATTATGAGACTGAAGTGTAGGTGAGGGAATCAAATTCATTACAATAGCAATGTGGATATGTATATGCCTTTTTATAATGCATAAAAAAAATACTCAAAACTAAATTCAATCTCTTGGTACATTTATAATACCTTTTTTCCCTTGACTACACATTCAAAAGCATCTTCTGCAAAAATATAATGTAATTTTATTTGCCATTATGGGCTAGAACACAATGTCAATATTGTATTTGGTTTAAAAGATTATTTTAATGTATACTTATCTTGAGAAAAACAGATACAGTCTCACATGCCAAGTTTACATCAGCTAGTGATTAATATTCCTTTCAGCCTACATATACTACCTTGTTAGCATTCTTTAAATGTTCCACAGATTCCCAAAAACTAATCAGAGCTCTCTTGTCCATCCTTTCCATGTACATTCCAAAGTGCTCTCGGTAGAAAGTATTGGCCAAGATATCTTCAAACTGAAGAATCTATTGAGAGAATTTAAGAAAACGTTTATAAAAATCAAATTTTAAATATCAGTTAGCTTTAACTTCCAATGGACTAATTTCTACATTTAGGGTAAAAATGCATTTTTTAAAGGAATAAAGTAAAATTTTATTGTAGTAATTTACAATTTATTTAAGTAAACGTACAGGTTTGTTACATAAGTCTACGTGTGCCATGCTGTTTTGCTGTATCTATTGACCAGTCCTCTAAGTTCTCTCCCCTTGTCCACCCACCCCACAATAGGCCCTGGTGTGTGTTGTTCCCCTCCCTGTGTCCATGTGTTCTCATTGTTCAGCTCCCACTTATGAGTGAGAACATGTGATGTTTGGTTTTCTGTTCCTGCGTTAGTTTGCTAAGGATGATGGCTTCCAGCTTCATCCATGTCCCTGCAAAGGACATGATCTCATTCCTTTTTATGGCTGTGTAGTATTCTGTGGTATATATGTACCACATTTTCTTTATCTAGTCTATCACTGATGGGCATTTGGGCTGCTTCCATGACTTTGCTATTGTAAATAGTGCTGTAATAAACATATATGTGCATGTGTCTTTATAGGAGAATGATCTATATTCCCTTGTGTACATACGCAGTAATGGTATTGCTGGGTCAAATGGTATTTCTGGTTCTAGATCCTCGAGGAACTGTCATACTGTCTTCCAAAATGGTTGAAGTAATTTACATTCCCACCAACAGTGTAAAAGTGTTCCTATTTCTCCACAGCCTTGCCAGCATTTATTATTTCTCGACTTTTTAATAATTGCCATCTGACTGGTGTAAGATGGTATCTCATTGTGGTTTTGATTTACATTTCTCTAACAATCAGTGATGTTGAGCTGAAAACATGCATTTTTTAAAGTCAGAGTAGATGTAACATAGTACTGGTAAACTGAAATATCTCTTACTACATTTTAAATGGAATAAAGCTTACTGAATATTCGAAATGCATATACTGAAAAAATAGCAATTTCCTATTACCCATTCACTCATTGAACAAAGATTTATTTGGCATTGCAAATCAGAAAGTGTCCGAGACAGGTCTCCATCAGTTTAGAAGTTTATTTTGCCAAGATTAAGGACATGTCTGGAAGAAATAAACATGGAGTCACAGAAACAGTCTGTGGTCTGTGCCTTTCTCCAAAGATGACTTTGAGTGTTTCAATATTTAAAGGGGAAAAGTGGGCTGGAGGGGAAAGGAGAGTATGGTAATCCACATGTTCCAAGGAAAAAGGAGCAGGCAGGGCAATAGTCAATTACGTAATCCTCTGACGCTCAGTAAATCGGCACTTTACACAAGATAAGGTGAACACAGAGTAGCTACCTGTGGAGATATCAAACCTTCTGTCTGTAACTTCTGCTTAGGAACAAAAGGAAAAGCAGCTTCCTGCATGACTCAGCTTTCAGTTTAATTTTTTTCATATCCTTCACCCACTTTTTGGTGGGGTTGTTTTTTTCTTCTAAGTTTGTTTAAGTTCTTTGTAGATTCTGGATATTAGACCTTTGTCAGATGGGCAGATTGCAAAAATTTTCTCCCATTCTATAGGCTGCCGGGGCAGGCATTTTCTAACAGCTCCTAGTAACTAACTTAAGGACATGGATATCCCTTGCTACAGACCATTAATAATTCATTTCTATAAATATTTCAGACTAATAATATTTAGTTTACTAGCTGTGGAACACTAGAACATGTGTCTTTATGTAAAGTCTACCAGTGAAGCATTTTGAAGCACAAAATCCTAACTGTACATGCTCCAAAGGGGTTTAAAGGAACCCATATCAATTTGGCTAAGGAAGATGTGCCAACAATTCCAGCATCAACAGAAAGGGCCAGGAAACCCTTTCAGATTCAAGTCAAGTCCTGGGCTGCATTCGACAGTGTTCATTTTGGATTGGCCTTGGATCAAATAAGGAAAATGACACCCAGATTGGCATAAGGATCTGCCATTTATTGCCGCTGATTTCCAAACTCCATGTACTCCTATTTCCATTTCCTCTTCAACCCTATGTTAACTCTTCCTTCTATCTTTCCATTTTGGGGCCACTGGTGATTGCAAACAAAAATAAGGCAACACAGACTTTTTGTTTTCAAAACAAAGCAAGACAGGAAGGCAACACTGTGAAGTTAAAGTTGCTCAGGCTTTGGAAGTAGATATACTTAGGTTTGAATCCTGACTCCACTACTTTCCAGTTCTGTGAGCTCTATGTTACTCCATCACTCTGAGTCTCCATTTTTTCACCCATAAAATGTGAATGATACCACCTACTTTCCAGGTTGTTCTGAGACTTATTAATAATAACTGTTCTGAATCAACAAAGACAACAACAAAAACTAATCAGGAAGAGCCTGAACCAGGAGAAAGAGAAGGCAAAATAAGTGCCAAAAATCAGAATAGTTAAGAGGTCACTTTCTAGTTACATAAATATGGATAAAAGGATTAGCAGTGATTCTCAACTGGGATCCAAAGAGAAATTACAAAGGACACGAAAAACTTTTGTGGGTGATGGATATGTTTATTATCTTGATTGTGGCAATGGTTTAATTGAATATATGTGTATGTCAAAACTTATCAAATTGTACACTTTAAATACGAGCAGTACACTGCATGTCACCATACCTTAATTAAGCTGTTTTAAAAACAAATATTCCATTAAGCCTTAATAATAGCATTGCAAAGAAACGAAGTAGACAATGATTATACTAAGGACCCACTGTCAGGAGAACATATACTGACATTATCTTTGTGAGTTACAGATTGCTGGATCTGATTTCCCAGTATCTTTGTTAAGGACTTTTCTGTCTAGGGTCATGAGGGACACCATTCTGTAGTTTTTTTCCTCTGGTTTGGTATCAGTTACGCTAGCCTCCTCCTAGGATGAGTTGAAGCGCTCCCTTCTCCGTTTTTTGAAAGAATATGGTTAAGTATTATCTCTTCCTTACTTGTTTTATAGAATTTACCAGTGAGGCCGGGCACAGTGGCTCATGCTTGTAATCTGAGCACTTTGGAAGGCCAAGGAGGGTGGATCACCTGAGGTCAGGAGATCGAGACCAGCCTGGCCAACACAGTGAAGCCCTGTCTCTACTAAAAATACAAACATTAGCAGGGTGTGGTGGTACATGCCTGTAATTCCAGCTATTCAGGAGGCTGAGGGAGGAGAATCGCTTGAATCTGGCAGGCAGAGGGTGCAGTGAGCTGAGATCGCACCACTGGCACTCCAGCCTGGGCAACAGAGGAAGACTCCATCTCAAAAAAAAAAGAAAAAGAAAAAGAAAAAAGAAAATCACCAGTGAAATGATCTGAGTCTGGAGTTTTGTGAGAAGGTTTTAAATTATTATCATATTCTTCAATAAACTGTGGGTTATTCACAGTTTCTATTTCTTTTTGTCTTTTTTTTTTTTTTTGAGATGGAGTCTCACTGTCACTCAGGCTGGAGTGCAATGGCGTGATCTCAGCTCACTGCAACCTCCACCTCCCGGGTTCAAGTGAATCTCCTGCTTCAGCCTCCTGAGAAGCTGGGATTACAGATGCCCACCACCATGCCCGGCTAATTTTTGTACTTTTAGTAGACACAGGGTTTCACCAAGTTGGCCAGGATGGTCTCGATTTCTTGACCTCAAGATCCGCCCACCTCAGTCCCCAAAGTGTTGGGATTACAGGCGTGAACGACTGCGTCTGGCCTCTATTTCTTTTTGAATCAGTTTTGGTAATTTGTGTCTTCCAGGGAATTTGTCTATTTCATTTAAATTGTCAAATTTATTGGCTTGAAGTTGTTCACATTATTCCCTTAGCATCCTTTGAGTGTATGTAACATCTGTAGTGATGTCCTATTTCATTCCTAATATTGGTAATTCATATCTTCTCGCTTTCCTTCCTTCTAGTTATTTTAGTTTTTATTTATAGCTTCTTTAAAAAATGTTTTTAAAGTTTTCTTTTTTTTTTTTTTGTAGAGAGGGGAGTCTTGGTATGTTGCCCAGGCTGGTCTCTAACTCCTGGCCTCAAGCGATCCTCCTGTCTTCGCCTGCCACAGTGCTGGGATTACAGGCATGAGCCCCCTCACTGGGCCAATTTATAGCTTCTTAAAAGATTAGATCACTGATTTCATACCCTTCTCTTCTGTTGCAAGCATTAAAAAGTACAGTTGACCCTTGAGCAACATGAGTTTGAGCTGCACAGGTCCACTTGTACAAGATTTTCTTCCACATCTGCCGCCCCGAGACAGCAAGACTAACCCCTCTTCTTCCTCCTCCTCTGCCTAAACAATGTGAAGATGACGTGGATGGAAACCCCTGTGATGATCCACTTCCAGTGAGTAGTAAAAATATTTTCTCTTCCTTATGATTTTCTTAGTAACATTTTCATTTTCTTTATAGCCTACTTTATTGTAACAGTACAGTATATAATACATATACAAGATCTGTGTTAACTGACTGTTATTGGTAAGGCTTCTGGTTAATAGTAGGATATGGGTAGTTAAACTTTTGGAGACTCTATAGTTATATGTGAATTTTTGCTCAGGGGAGGGTCAGCACTCCTAACCCCCACATTGTTCAAGGCCAACTGTATATAATTCCTCTAAGTGCTGCTTTAACTGCACAATATATCCCACAATATATATATCATAATATATCCCACAAATAATTGATATATTGCATATTCACTCCATTGAAAATAGTTTCTAATTTTCCTTATAATTTCTTCTTTGATGAAAGCCTTATTTAGATATGCTACTTATATTTCCAAATATTTGGGAATTTTCCACATCTCCCTATTACTGATATTACTGAGGGGGAATGTTAACATTTCCAACTGTACTTGTGAAATTTTTTCTCATTTTTGTCAGGTTTTCCTTCAGGTACACTCTCAAGGTCTCCCTATTGATTAAGAACATCTGATTATTATATCTTCCTGATGAACTGCATCCTTTATCATAATGAAATGTTCTTCATCTCTGGTTCTACTCCTTGTTCTGAAGTCTGTTTTGTCTGACATTCACAGTAGCTACTCTAGAGCTCTTCTGCTTAGTATTCACATGTCTTCTTCCCTCTTACTTCCAACCTATCTGTGCCTTTATGTTTAGTTTCTTGTAAGCAACATATAACTGTCTTGCCTTTTTAAAAATTCACTCTGAATCTTTATTTTAATTGGAGGATTAACCTGATTTGGAAGTCGAAATTCTGAAATAAAGTTAATGGTAATTCTTCTGGATCAGATATGATGAAGTCATAGGAAAAGTTTTCTTCCCACTCATGAAGACATCAGAATGGCCCCAAACTAAACAAAGTCTTACCTTTCAAATAGCAAATGACTATAACTATTGGAATTCTGTCTCATCTTAGCCTTCCATCCTGAAGACTAGAGGAAATGGTTTTACTCTGAGGATGAATTACTGCAACAGAAATGAGTTTCTCTTTTCCTGAATGTCTGGAAAGAACGAATCAAAAATGGATCTGGCACTCTGGATTAAGTCTACTTCTAGTAGACACTGCCGGACAGACAACCTGCACTGAAATCACATTTAATTCTCCCAAAACGAGTTTCCATTATCTTTCTCAAGATCTTCCTGTACCACACATCTAAAAGCGTATCATCTTTTGACTAGGTAGCAAGCCATTATGCACTTCTCCCACGTATTTATCTCATATTTCTACTGGATCACTTACCTTTTATTTTATAATTACATGGGACTCTTTGAGAGCAGGGATCCTGTCTTATTTATTTTTAATCCTAGTACCTAGCACTATAACTGAGATATTGTGGGCCCTCAATAAATGTCTGTTGAATGAATGAATGGGACATAAGACAAAGATCTCATCTATGATAAATGTGGCTAGAAATTAAACTAAGAGCCTCAAAACAAAAAGCGAATAAGGAGGAAGAAGGGAGCAACATTCAACCTGTCAAATCTATCATCTCTCTGATTCACCAAAATGTTACGTTTCCATCTAGAACACAAAGCCAGTATCTCAAAAATTTTATTTTATTTTATTTTGCTAATAGCAAAATCAACAGACTTCCTGTGGTTAGAGGATCTCCCTATAAAAACAAGAGCCCCTTGGAGCTGCACTCGCACCACTTGTGTAAGATGCTGCAGAACCCTGGCCCGTGCGGGGCTGGCCCTGCCTGCAGAGGCTCTAGCGGAGACTGGCCAGAAACAAGCAAGAAAGCCAAGGCTTATCACTGGAATAGGGAGGCAGGAGAAGATCACAGATGAGTAGCTGAAGTAGAACCGAGAGCTACATAGGAAAGAATCAAGAGACTGAAAATCAGAACAAGTGAGGTTAGAGGCTGTGCTGTGAGTTACATTACACCAATGTTGGCCTCTTTGTAGCTAAAGGACACACTACAGGAGAGGAGTCTGGCATCTGCTTTGAGGTCCTGTTCCTTCCATGGCACAGCTAAGCTCCTGGGCGGGTCATGTGGCTGCTTCCTTCTATCTTAGCAAGCTCCAGGTCTTGGAAGACAAGTCTGGTCCTTCAGAGTCAGGACAGGTACTGAGGTAGGGCTAAAACACTTCCCTAAGCTCCGTGATTTGGTTGGTATTGACAGACAATCTGAAGTTTGACAGGACAAAAACAGTCAGAGAGATGATATGTTTCAGTGAGAAAGCACTCAGATTTGCAAACCAACCAGATCTGGGCTTTTATCTAGTTCTACCTTTTCCTATCTATGTAGTTTTAGGTAAGATACGTAAATTCACCATTTCATCACCTGAAAAATGAAGATATCAAGTAGAAATTTCATAATATTGTGGCAAGAGTTAAGTAAAATAATTTGAAGATGCCTCCTACTTCATAGGTGGTTATTTCTCATCAATTGACAATGGGAAACTTGACTGGACTCTTGTAAATATAAATATGCTCTTCTGGGTCCTCTGGGCAGGACAAAGGGGAGATGGAAAAATATACACACATGCGCACACACGCACACACCCGATGCCTATCTATCATACCTGTTACCATCCACAGAAGTCAAGGACACCAAGGAATATAGCTCCTTGACTCATAAAGCAAATATGTAAGTGTGTAGTTATGGCACACATGTCTAAGTTCAATACTAAAAAGGTGAAAGTCTTTATATGTAGTTCTATCAGCATTTATAATAAACTTCGTAGGGTCAAAACAAGAAACTATAAAGTTCTACCTTCTGGCTTTGAGGCCCTTCCCCCTCCTCCAGGGCCCCATCCTCTTGCTGGTCATAGGCAGGGCCTCCCAGGATTCGGATTCTCTTCTCACACTGCTTCTTTGCCACAGTCAGTTGGTTGATGTACCTCTTCATGTTCCTGGCCCTCAGGAGATCAGCTTTCATTGCCGCAGTTTCTTTACCTTGAATAGGAGTGAGGAACAGTACCTGGTCAGAGGACAAGGCATGAAAGGACAGAGCGATTCAGAACCAGATCGGTGTCTGCTGTGGGCATTCTGAACCAAGTGGATACTAAACAAAATAACAGAACAGAATCCACAATAAATACATACACACACTCCCAAATACAAATGCCAATCATTTCTAAATACAATTTCCAAATATACCACTGACAAATCTTACCCAAGGGTAAAACATTTTTTTAAAAAAACCTCGGTACAAATGCACTCACACATCTGTGTGTGGATTCTTTAACATCTTTATATGAATGTGTACGTACAAACACTCACTCATAAGCATGTACTGAGTGCTAGTTATGTGTCAAGACACTTGCTAGGCTTTTGAGATTGAAGACCAATTGTTGGCCCTCATGGACCTTTCAGAGTCTAGCAAGTAAGAAATCCAAAGAGAGGAATCCAAGCACCTATAACACAAGCTATGAAGAAAATATGCATATACCATGAACTGTTTAACAGAAGATTCTAACTCAGGCTTCTTTGAGGAAATTATATTTAAACAAACATGAATAATCAGTAGAGTATGGCAGACAGAAAGAATAGGGAATGTGAAAGTGAGAAATAGGCAGGAAAGAGAATAGAGTTTTCGAGGAACTGAAAGAAGGCCGTTAGAGCAGGTGCAAAAGGAGCCAGAAGATCCAAAATAACTCTGATGCTGGCAGGAGCCACGAGGTGCACAGCCTTTCAGGCCAGAGAAAGGACTCTGATCTCTAGCCCAAGAGTACTGAGAAGTTTTAATGGGTTTTAAGCAGGAGTGTGCCATAAATGGATTTGTATCTTTAATGATTACATAGGAAGCAGGATAAAAGATAGGTTGGAAGAAGAAAGACTGCTAGGAGGAGGACAAGCTGGAAGGCCATTGCAGTCCAACTGAGGAGGGAGATAATGATGGCCTACACCAGGGTTATGGCAGGCCAGTAGAGAGGACAAGAGGATGTCAGGACCCAGTGACTGGCTGGGCAGGGTAGAGGGCAGGTTGCTGAGAAATTAAAAGGTATCAAATATGGCTCCTAGGTTTCCAACATGAGCAGCCAGGGGGATGGTGGGGCCAATTGCTAAGCTAGAAACACTGGAGAAAAAGGTTTGTGGAAGATGCTAACGCAACTCTGGACAATGTGGCAGGTGATATTTTCCAAAAACGCCTGCAATGTCTTCCATCTCACATGCTCTTTTTACAATGTCCCTCTGACAATCTCCCTCTGGCAAGTAGAATATATGTTTCCTTTTGTTGAATCTGGTTGGGGTCATGATTATGACGGAAGGGATGCTATGACTTCCAAGACGAGATCATAAAAGACCAAGGACTTGGAGCTCTGGGTCACTACGTGTGGCTCACCTGTCCTGAGGCTTCCATGCTTCGAGGAAGCCTCAACCATCAGTCCTTGGAGAGATCTATATGGAGAGGAACCAGGGCTCCCTGGACCACAGCTCTGGCTGAGATCTCAAGCTCATATTCAGAACCAGTGAGGCACCGTGTGAGTACACCATCCTGAAAGTAAACTGTCCCACCCCAGTCAAGCCACTCCAGCTGATGTCACGTGACACAGAGTCATTACTTCCAAACCCTGCCCAGATTGCAGCTTCAGGAGCAAAATAAGTGACGTTGTTAAAGACACTATGTTTTAGGGTAGTTTGTTACACCGTAAAAGACAACCAAACAGGCAAAATGAGTCTGCGGGCTTCTGAGTACCTAAATGGAGAGAGAAGGTCTAGAGTTCAGAAACATTCAGCTTTGGGACAGTAAATGACATCATGGGAGTGTGTGAGACAACCCAGGAGGAAACAAATAATCCTAGACACAACTGAGATACACTTTACCCTTAAGAGTAAGGGGAAAGAGAAGCTGACAAGGGAGATTGTAAATGTATCCTCATAAAAGTAAGTGTTTATCTCTTTATACACTGCTATATCCCCAGCACCTACAACAGTGCCTGGCAGCACAGGAGATACTCATTAATCAGAAGTTGAATGGATCAATGAACTCTCAAATGCTATATTTTGCTAATATGTATCAGGTATTGTGTTCGTTCTAGAATTTGGGGCTGAGGAGGAAAGAAAGAGGGTGAGCATCCTCAACTCCTACTCTTCAAGGACTCCCATCTGGCTTCTAACCCACCCTCCACCAAATCTGCTGTTGCCAAGATCACTAGGGACCCCCAGGTCAAATCCAGTGGAAAGCTTTCAGAAGAGTCTGCAATCAGAGTTAGGTTAGAATCCTGGCTCTGTTACTTACAAGTTATGCCACCTCAAGCAAATATTTTTTTAAATTTAAAACCAGTAACAATGGTTTGTTTCCTTAAGTTGACATATCATTTAAAGCAAAAGCAAAATACTCATACAAAATTAATTTTTAAAAAAATGACTAAACATTGAGCATTACACCTTGTGGAGAACAGGCTGGCTGTGTATATATACCTAAAGGCAAGGGCTGGGGTGAGGGAAGGATGTTTTTAAGCGAGACAGAATTGAGCTGGTTTTAATGCTGATGAGAAGAAATCAGTAAAAAGTAAAGAGAGGTGTGGCCAGGCATGGTGGCTCTCACCTGTAATCCCAGCGCTTTGGGAGGCTGAGGCAGCAGGGTCACTTGAGGGCAGGTGCTTGGGACCAGCCTGGGCAAGATAACAAAACCCTATCTCCACAAAAAGTTTTTTAAAAACTTAGCTAGGTGTGGCAGTGCGTGTCTGTAGTCCCAGATACTCAGGAGGCTGAGGAGGGAGGTTCACTTGAGCCCAGGAATTTGAGGCTGCAGTGAGTGATGATCCTGTACTCCAGTTTGAGCAGCAGAGCAAAATAAATAAATAAATAGAAGTTGAGAAAGGTGACAGACAAGGAATGGTATCCAGAAGACAGGTGAAGAGATCAGAGATCAGCTTTGGAGAAAGGCCACCTCCTCCCCTGCAGTAACATGGAAGGCAGAGCAGGTGGACATTGGATATGAGGAAGTTTGCAGACATGGCTAGATGCCAGAGCAGTTCCCTTCATATGGATTTAGTTTTGTGCAAGTAGAGAGCAAGGTCGTCTGTGTGGAGTGAGGGGGTGAAAGACTGAGTGATCAGAGGCCTGAGGAAAGGGGGCAAGTGTGGAATCTCTCATGCAAAGCAGAGGCGCTCAGCAGGACTGCCAGGAATGCTCAGGGCCCAGAGGACCGCTAGAGAAACAGAATGTTTCTCCCTAGGCATGGTAACTACATATCTGGGCAGGTGAAAGCATACTCTCTGGAGGTGAGTCAGCACATACCTCGCCTCGATTTGAAACTACCAATGATAAAAGAGCATTTGCGTTTTGTCTCTTGGTTTCCCTGAGAGCAGTCTAAGTAATGGTTTGCACATCCTCCCAGCTGGAGACCTCCATCCGGTTCCCTAGGATGGTCATTACCTCTCTCAAGTCCCACTTAGTCAAATGTGCAAATGTATAACATAGTACTCAGGGAGGCTGCACAAATTAGCTGAAAAAACTTAAGACACAGTACCATAAAACAGTTTTATCAGAAGCAGCTTTTCTTGTACTGAACACAAAGGGCCACAGGCAGGCCTCAGGTCAATACATGGCCTTGTTCAAGATGATCTGTCAGGTATTATCAGACATCTTTTCATCCCCTTTTCATTTACTTCAATAATGGTTTCTGAACTTGTGTTATGCTTGGCCAACAGACAGGACCTGCCTAAATACTCACTAATTTAGCATTTATCTCAACAGGAAAAAAATAGTATTTCAGAGACTCCTTTGTGGGAGGATGAAGGTAAATGTAGTTTGCCCCAAAATTAGTCTACTGCAAAGTAAGTTGTTTTGTGGGTGTATCCAAGGAAATACATGCTTGGAAGACTTAATTTTTCAACAAAACTTTACTTTTTAAATATATACCCTTAAACTTCATAGTTTGTGTATAATGTTTAAGTTACTCTAAAAATTTCGGGGCTCAAGTTGCCTCTTATTTATAAAACAAACCTACACCTGAATTTTAATTTGGGGTTAAAACATGTTAATAAAGAGAGAGAGACACACACAGGAAACTGACACCCATTTATCAACCTCTACATTCTTTTTACCCAAAGCTTAAAAAGCCTTTCTAAAAGGACAAAACCTAGAAGAAAATTCCAAAGACAAGTGAGAAAGAGAAAAACCTTTCCCTAAAACCCAGCTGCAAGGCTGGGAAGAATGTTCTGGTGCTCTGCTTGAATGTGGCTTGCTCACGGGAATGCACTCTGTTTGCTGATGGGCAACACAATGCCATTGTCTCATCACAAAGCTTGTGGCTAACAAATGCAACAGCAGCTTGTTGCTTAGACGGTTCTGTTTATTTTTGCCACATTCAGAGCCAAAGGACTAACGTGGAGCTCATGCATCCCATGCTGCTGGCATGCCAAAATCCTTGTAAATCCAGTGATGCAGATGAATACGTTTCTTTGTGGCCTTAAAACCCATTCATCCAAGAAATATTCACGTCAAGAAAAGTATAGGCGAGCGGGTGTGTGACAACACCCTGTGACCCAGCTCACGCCAGTGTTATGTGGCTGTTTCTCTGCGGAGTCTTAAGTAGTAATACTGTGCATTGTTAGAAACTGGGTTAATCACACAACATTTAATCTAGCTTTAAAAAGAAGTGGCCAGCGAAACACCGGATGGCAGTGGGTCTTTCAACTGGTGCCAAGATGAACACACACATGATGTTAGGTTGGTGCAAAAGCAAACACGGGTTTCGCCGTTACTTTTAATGGCAAAAAACGCGATTACTTTTGCACTAACCTGTAATATTCCAAAGCAATTAGTTCAAACATTTACTGTTTTTCCTTCTAGATAGTCTAGGTTCTACCGAGATCAGAGCAAAAGGAAATGGGTGAATTTGGGTTCATTTAATGAAAAAGACATTTAGATTAGACATTAAACTCTTTTGGCTACAAAGACATTACAACAGACTTACGAATAACATCACAGAAATGCTTTTCGCT